GATAGTCATGCGAACCAGGCGTACCCGGCATGCTCGACGAGATAGGAGAGGGTGAAGACGTCCAGCCGCCCATTCCCATGCAAGATGTGTCGACCGAAAGAGACGGTTCGACGCCAGAAAGGGACGGGGCGTAGGTGTACTGCGGGACGGGCGCGAAAATGTTGTTGGGAGAGTCCTGGTAGCTCGCCGACATCATACGAGGGTCATAAGACTCGCCCGACGCCGACGTGCACTCCTGGAAAGTGAATGTGCCAAAGTCCTGTGAATAACGAAGTGAGCTATTGGATCGATCAAGGCGCGCGATCACTTACAAAAGGAGAGGTGGACGGAGATCCCGTGTAGATGTCCTGTGACGTGGTGAAGGGAGTGGAAGGAGAGCTATAGGCGTCGCTCTGACTGAAAGATTCGCTCTCGAAGAGCGATGGTTCGGACCACTGTGGGGAGGCTGTGGCGATGCGCATTTCCGGCTGCGCCGTGGACGCACGGGCCTTGCCAGACTTGCCAGACGGCAGCGGGACAACAAAGCCCGACGAAGGCTCATCTGCTGCGGGCTCAGACACAGATCGACGATAGGCACGAGCGGTGAGCGGCGCTTCGAATCGCGTTACTACCTCTGGGACGTGGTGGCGATCGAATTCGTGGACCGCTGCGCCAAGCTCAGCGCCCCTCTTGCCATCAATAAGGAGGTCGGCGATCTTGGTGCAGCGTTTCGTGTCTTTGAGGCCTACCTCTCGGACTTTACGCTTTTCGCTCGCCTTCTCCTTGTCGTGAACGGGCCTGAACACATAGTTGGGGTGCTTGACCATATGTTCCTCAAGTTTCTCCCTGGCATCATCAAACCATGCATCTCGTTCCGCTTGCGGGAGTTTGCGCCAGGTAAGCCCAATGATCTTCGACAAGGTGCTATGGTCAGTCTCAATGTCTGTGGTGATGTGGTTATTCCTGATGAACGCCGAGCGAAAAAGAATGAAAGCGTTCGGAGGGCGGGGGATGTGATCCTCAGGCTTCTTCTTTGCGTGGGTGTTCCGCCGTTTCCCTGTTTGGGAAGCGGTAGACGAGGGAGGCGGAGTAGGGAAGAGTCTGCGCTCCGCCACACGCTTTGCGCGGGAAGCAGGCTGGTTGAACGTCCCAGGCGTCAGGTTGGTGGCAAACGAGATCGTCTGGGGCGGCGACGCGTTGGGCTCCTGCGTCACTTGATCGTCTGCGGGTGGGTCGTCAGTGGAATGCTCTGGGCGCGAGAGGATGGGGGGCTTATCATACCTTGCTTGGAGGAGCGCTTTGACTTTCGGGTGCGTTCCGCAGGCATGCTGTGAAGAGAGCCGAAGGGGTGAAGACTGCGTCGAGTGGACGAAAGGGGAGTTGACTCGAGAGCCACGGGTTTGATAGGAGGGCAGGCAGGAAGGTATCGCAAATGGCATCAGAGGGAGGTCACATTTGTCTTATACCATTGAGTCCGTGAGGGTGCGAACTCACGTTGCAACTCCGATATTCTAGAGTTTGCATTCCGTGTGCGGCTGCCGCCGAGGGTACCGACCAGGCGCCCGGCTGATAACATCAGGTATGGCCCGGAAGAATGGCCTTCTTCTGATTGGACAGCTCAGGGTCATTTGGATTCTCATCTCGCGTAAAATTCCAGGTCTGATCGTAAAATTACGTTCCCCCTCCCCCTCGCCGCGTCCCGACTGCCATTACTTGTGGGCATCATCCCCGCGGTCCGCCGGCCGGCCAGTGGCGCACGCCATCGTCCAAGGCGAGCAGCACCAAGACCCACTGTCAGCTGACCAGCTGCAGCTCCGATATTCTTTTTCGCCCCCATCAATATCCAGGACGCACTAGTGGGCAGACGGGTCACGCATTTGATTCCGCCCCCGAAACTGATATTTGCCCAAATTTAGAAGCTCTTGTCCCGGGGGGAGGACCCAGGTCCATTATTTCTGCACACTTACATGTCGGCAGTGCCTGTATCGCTTGGGGTCGTACAATCTGCTGTTTTATATTGCAACTCACAAGATGAGCGTGATCGAGCTGCCGTCCCGCTCGAATAAAGAGATCAGTGTTTGGACAAAAGGCGCCCGCAGTCTGCTTCAAGTCTGTCGAGATCTCACCAGGATTTTGCTTGCTCTGCGGATGAATGCCGCCAGTCAGATCATGGTTCTCACACGTCGCCATGACTTCGTGTAGCTCCAGTGGCCTACTGCCACTCCAGAACAGGCCGGACGCTGCCTACAGATCGGAGGCAGATCTGCTTCCGCTGTTGCAGCAGGGACGGTGATCTGGTCAAAGACTACAGTTCGTCGCCCTCGTTGTCGGGAACGCGGTCGTCGACACCGCTCGGAAACTGCTCCGAAACCGAAACCGACAACGAAATCCCCGGTCATACCAACCAGTGTATTCACACAGCGCAGGCTCTTCATCTGCGCGTGTCCCGGGTTGTCGCGGAATCAGTAAATCCCCTCACTACAGAATCGTCCCTGGAGAGGAGAAGCCGGAGGCGGCTATGCTCCTTGACGCAGGCGTTCAAGTTACACAAGGGTTGACTTATCTGACTCTCCCCGGCAACGTACTAACTTCAATCGGATTAAGATCGAGTATTAGATCAGCTTTGCGAAGGATCCCGGACACTCGGGGGTTTTGAGCCGTGCGATCACCAGGGCGGAACTTCACTTGCAGATACCAGGAGAACACATTCTGCGACTGGTCAGGTTGTGCATTTTGTGGCCCCTCCTGGACGAGCACATGGCTGCACCTTCGCGAACCGGACTTGCGCCACAGCTCGGGCATGCTGCCAGCACCCATGATCTCAGTCTCTGCTCCGCGAAAGAGCATGTGAGGATGTGCCGTAGGAGCTTAACGGCTTGTGCTCGTCATGTAGGCTGATCGCTTATCTCCCCTCAAAGAATGGCAATAGTTAGTATAATTTCGCAGCGATGATCAGTAAAGTACATCGCCTTACACGTTAGTGAACAATGCCTGCATTATCCTATGGTGCGATTACTGTTATTTCTTGAAGTTAGGATTCCGTCTGGTGTGTTCATCTCCTTATCGTGATTGTCACCAACGGAATTACCGCGCTCATCGAGTTGATGCGACGATGCGCACCCACATCCGCTTACTGATTCTGATGATAATGCAGAGAAGCGCAAACATTGTCTCAGGAAGTAGTTTTGCTCGTGTTTAGCATCAATTCTTGACCGTACGTAGAGACACATTCCACTGCCTCGCCCGCAACGATGAGAAAGTCTGCATGCACGTGTAAGGGCATCTCGGCATGTTCTGCGACAATGCACAAAATGAGGGTTACTTACTAAATGTGCGTCTCAATGTCCCGGATGCGAACTGATCAGCAACGAAGGTGTGCCGGTACGCGGGCAGCATGGCCGAAGCATCCCTGAATGAGACGAACATCCTCAAAATCGGCTTAGCCGGTCGCGCCCCGACGGCGGAGCACATGCGCTTTCGTTAAATTAAAGCCGCGAGGCGTAGCAGGTTGTGGCAGGGCACGGACCGGCCTGGATTCTCAGCCCGTCTGCGGTGAAACAAGTAGGCGCCATATTGGTGATTTCTGTAAATATCCGAACGGCGGGCTTGCCTGTGACGCGCACCCGTGCACATCGACATTAAGTGTCGGGTGGCTACCTCTAGCGCATGCACCCCATCAGCTGCGCATGTGTACAGGTATTGGTGTTGTGAGCGATAAGAACTCACCTAAAGTATTGCTCCCAGCGCTGGTGCTACGCGTCCAGTTGGTGGCGCTGGCCATCTGGCGCCAGGGCGCGTACTATCTCATACAAGGCATGAGTTGTCACGCACGGTCGCGACCCCGCCGAAAAACAACTTGAGCAAGAGCGGTTAGTTTCCATTCAATGCTGTGAATTTCCGCTTTCACGCTAAAGCTGATCCGCGACGTGTGCCAATCGATGTCAGCATGTAGGAGAACAACACCGAGCGGAATAGGCCGCCGTACCGGACTTGCTCCCCAAACAATTGAAATGGAAACATACCAAGAAACAACAGATTGAGCGCTGTTCGCCAGCATAGACTCAATACCGTAAGACCCAAGAGGCAGGCCGCTCGGTGATGGTTGCTGAGGCGAGAACTCGGAATCCGACTTCGCGCTAGAAAATCGATGGTCACCAGAATGCATGACAGAACATCCATTGCTACCAGATTTCACGGGAGAATAACGGAGCATCAAATTTCGCGTCAGGGTCAGTCGAACACTGCCTCCGGCTTCCAGAGCTTCATGCAACAAATCCCTTGCTTCTCCAATGCCCCACCCACGCCCTAGCGTCATCTGCGCCGAGTGGTTTCAAGGCGGCAAGCGTCGGACTAATTTTCACCGCTCTGCTAGTTTGGAACACTGGCAGCCCTCCCACCTCGATCTCGCGGAGCTGTTCCTCCCGCGCTTTCCTCTCCAGCATAGCTATACTGCGGTAGTATTCTAGTAATTTTATGGCGGGCTACATGTCGCGTGAGTGGCCGGTTCTAGCAGCGCAAGTCACAGGGTGGAGGATTACTCACAATTGTGGCGAGGTCGTTAGCCGACGCGCCCTCCGCCACAGACCCCACGTCCCGTACCCACTCGTCCAGTGGAGCGAACGGGAGGTCCTTGCCTAACCCTCCGTTGACAGCGGCCATCACATCCTTCCATACGACGGGCCGTGGATGTGAAATGTTGACGATCTCAGGCGCATCCGAACCAAAGAGAATCTCAACTGTGGCGCTAGCGACAGCATCCATCGGCACCCACGACACCGACTAAAAATTACTATGAACATTTGGCACTTCGGAAAGAAAATTTTAACTCGCCCCATCGAGTTCAGGCAGCGCACCAAGCGCAACGCTAGACTTGACGATGGTCGGCACCCAGTCGGACGTGTTCCACGCCCCTCTTGTAGACGATCCACAAATCTGGGCGATTCGCAACGACGTCGTACGCATGCCCTGCTCGCGCGCCTTAGAGAGAACCTGTATACGACTTCAGCAAACCGCTAATCCTGTCACCAAAAAATCGAACAAGCGCGCACCTCCTCCACCACATACTTCGACATTCCATACCCCGAAGTCGTCGCTGCAACCCTCGAATTATGCAACGCCTGTTCCGGTACAGCGCCACGACAGTTGGCGTCGAACCAGCCTCCCGCAACCGAGACTGACGACGTGAAGAGGTAATATGCGCCAGGCGATAATGCTAACAGCTTAATGGCCGTTGCGATCTGCGATTCGAAAGACGCAAGAGAGAGGTTGAAGTCGACCCTCCACGCGTTGTGTATGATGTGCGTTATGGATGCGCTGAGCTATTGAGCAACAGAGATGAGTATCACTCCCGAACCTTTTTCACCCGTTCTTACCTCATCCGACACTCGTTTTTCTAGGCCAAGGTCCTCCCGGGTCAGATCACCAGATAACAGCATCAGCTTTGCATTCTGGAGAAGAGCTGTGGGCAGTTGGGCAGTATCAAACGCGGCCTTTTGACGTTCTTCAAGTTTTGTGCCGCGGTTAAGCGCGTACACGACCTTGACCCGCTGGTCTGCAAGCAGAAGGGCCAGGATGTGTGCGCCGAGCGCACCCGTCGAACCTGTAAGCAACACTACCGCACCACCGCCGGATCGCGAGTCGGTCAACGACGGTGAAACAGGAAGCAAGGCGGCGTATTTGGTGATCATAGCGTCGATCTCCACCGTCTTCGACTGAGACGCGAATGCGACAGTCGTGTGGATTAGAGATTCAATCGCCGCAGCAAGCGCGAACAGGGTGGGGTTCTGGAAAATGAAGTTGGACGGTACGCTTTGTGCCGCAGCATTGACGGCCGTGTCTGACGATTGACGCAAAACACCGATTATACGGTTCCGCAAATATGTTGCGCTGAGGCTTTATCCATATTGGGTCAGAATGCATTCGGAGGATCAACACGCGGAAAGACATACCTGTCGAAGCCTTGCTCGAAGATATCCTTGTCGAGGATAGGTGCCTTGCCCCCATTGATCGCGGTCGCATGTTCGGTCAACCAAGTCTGCACCGCGTTCAGGGACCAGGACGAAGGTGGCACAACGCCATGCGCGTCTCGACTTTCTTCTATAACAACATATCTACGTTTAACTCGATAAGAATTATTTGATTTTCTCGACAAATGTGGGACACTTACAGTTCTTCTATGTCTTTGTCGTACAACTCTAGAGTCTTTTTACGCTGTATGGTTCCTTTGGCGGCGCGGACGAACGGACGCTCTGGATCCGCGACAAGGATCATCTCTTTAAAAATGCGCGAGAACCCAGGTGCGGCACGGTTAGCCTCCTCCACTTGATGCCTGAGCATATACAGAAGGCGAAATTGATGACCAATAAACAGATGTGACAGTAGCCTACATACCAGATAGCGTTGCGGAACCGCGCGAGTCCATTCTCGTCTCCCGGGCGGACTTCACGACCTTGTTGCGGCTCGATGATGATTCCGACTTGCTGGCGCCCACGGCCGAACATGACAGCGCCAGCAACCCAGAGATGCGCCGTAATGTGATTCTCCAGAGGCACGGGCACAGTTTTCTCGCCTGACCTGCAGTATCAGCACTCAAAACAGATATGTTAGCCAGACCTTATACGCACCGGACCCAAGAACAATCACATCGTCCGAACGTCCAACACTGCACACTGCCATGAAGTCATATTGTCTTCAGGCCAATCAACAAACGCTTACATGCGCCACAAGCCAGGTTTCGACGGATGCGGCACCCAGACATCAGACGTCGAGTAACCATGTTCGCCATTCGGCAAATTCTCCACAGAGGGCTGATGTGTAGGACATGTCTGAACCACGTTAGGATCCGGCCAGTGTTTGTTGAGGTGATGAATAGATGCACTCACCAGAAGCTGGAGCTCGAATGTCCCGTCTCCCTGCGCAATCCAGCGTGGTATGCATTCCTTTGGCATCTGCATCCACTCCCAATCGTCGCGCGTCTTTCCCACTGGGCTGGGGCCGTCGACATCGTCGTCGAACAAACGCGTCAGCGTCCCGAATTCGGTGGCACCATAGCAGGCGAACAAACGAACACCGCCTGCGACAAGCTTGCGACCATTCGCGGTGGAAAGAGGACCCCCTGCGAAGACCTATAAATAAAACATGGTGTAAAACAGTGTTGAGGTCGGGCACACAAGAGAAAGAGCTCACTAGAGCCCTCAGCGAGGCAAGATATTTAATGTCGTCCTCGCTATGGGACCAAGCCTTCGTTGGGAAAAAGGTGAGCATATAAGGATACACCTATTTCACCAAAAGATTAGACTTACCTCTACGAATGTAGGAACGCTTTCGATTGCATTGCAGCCAGTCTTCCGCGCTGTCTCCAAAGTGTTCTGCGGTGTCGGCACTACGGGTAGCGCGCCGACGAGCGCTCGAGGCGCAAAGAGACTTGTTGGGCAACCTGACGAGAGTGGAGAGAGCAGCTGCGTAGAGAGACCCATCGTATGAAACGGCGGAAGCGCCATGCACCCCCAGTGGATACCTCTTGCACGCGGCTCCGCGATGAGCGGGAGATGACACCAGTGCAGCAATGTAGTGTTCGTCTGGGGGATTGGCTTCGGATGGCCAGTGGACCCAGACGAGTGCAAGTAGAGAACGACATCGGAGGGCAAAGGCGCATTCTTAGGGCGTGGATACGGTTTTACAAGCGACCGCGATGGATCATAAGAGGACAAGAGCGATGGGAAAATGTCTGCCAGCACAGGCAAGTCGTCCAGTTGAACGGAGTACATCGGTGGCAACTCGGTCTGAATCGCGTCCGCCAGGGAAGCGAAAGCAGGTTGAGTGACGACGCGATGGCAGCCCGTGCGCTCCATCATGCTCGCGATCGCAGGTGCAGAGTTGCGAGGAGACATAAGAAATGGCACAAGCCCTGCGCGAACAAGGCCGACGAGCAGCGTGTGATAGAGCAGTGTATCGCAGCTGACTAGGACGATAATGACCTCTCCATCGGGGCCTGTGCGTGCAGGACGCGCAATGTGGGCGATGCGGCTCGTTGCATTCGCGAACTCGAGGAAGGAAACAGTGGTGATCTTGTCCTCGTCAAAGGCATTGGGGAAGACAAAGATTGGAAGATTGAGATTGTGTTCTGCATGGAAATCGACGATATCGGGAAGCACGCTCAGAGTTCCATCGAGCGAAGGTAAGACAGGTGCATTGAGAACGGCCATGGCGAATGAAGAGGATATAGTGAGTACTGAGTTATGCTCATCCACCGGCTGCGTTGACGTATTTATCGCAGAGGGTCAGATGCTGATTCTATGTTGCTTAGTGAGAAGGGCCTGCGTGTGAGCGCTATTTTGAGGATACAAGTCCCACCGATAGATTATTCATGAAGCCTAGCCACATCCCTGTTATGTTTCGTTCTGGTGCCTGCCGCAGACGGCACCGAACTATAATGAAGTGATTGCGTCCGCTGCAAGCATCGCGAACATTATAATTACCAGGAGCATATTCGCGTCACGGAACGAGCAAATAGTAGAGTTCAAATGCTTACGGGAACCCGCTGCGGACCGTTATCAACCTATCTGGTATCCACTAGGTCCTGACATTGGTTATGTTTCCCTTGTGCATACACCATGAGCAGATCGGCGACTACAAGGTGACCGACCAACTCCAATTCAGCTCGCCGCTGTCACTGAATTTGACTGAAGGGCCGGCAACGGTCGTCGAGCTCGAGCCGCTTATCGCCCACAAGCACATTCTCAGCCGTCGTCCGACATAAGTTTCTTGCTTGTTGGGAGTGAGAGTCGGGGAGAAGAAGAAGAGGAGGACTCTCATGTCCTCGCTATCGCTGATTTTTGCATGGGTTGGGCAAGGCGGTACCTGAGGCACGCGCCCAACGCGAGGTGTTCGCGATCTCGTGATCGCAAAGCTGAGGATATTCGTGTGCAACTTCGACGACCCACTGCCAGACAACCTCTTCCCGACCCTTTCCAGTCACTCTAATCACGTTCGTCGACGCTAGTACACGGAGGCAAGTCGTCTTAATGCTCTGTGTCATTTGTACTAATCTAGTATCAGCTGAGACAACAAGACATGTCTATTGCATAAACCTGAGTGGACTATAACATGGTGAGCGGGCGGGTTCCAATGAGGGTCCATCCTTGAAGGAATGCCGATCTAGTGCACAAAGTCGCGAGGCACAAGTGGAGATGGAGGTCATTGGCGTACAAGGATGACGCGTGCGCGTGTAGTTATCTGTGAGTCAATTGTTCAATACGAACAGGATGGCGATAACCGAGTGATTTACCTTTGTAGAAACCCATGACAGCGAAGGATAGCTCTTCCGCCGCTTTGAACCTCCTTGCACGCTTGTGAGGCTGGATTCGAGGAATAACAAAACAGGTATAGGTATCAACTATCCCGACGGCGACGAAAGGAATCTCGGTAGGTGACATATCTCGGGACTCAGCTTGGTGGACGACAACGAAATGTCGTTTCGACGATTGGTGTGGCCACATATTTGTGGGGGTTTTATATTCGGAACAATCTGAAAATTAAATTGGTGCGCCGAAGGGCTTATTTGCTGACATACTCAGGCTCTATTGTACAACTGCATATGGCGATCCTGTACAAGCTGTGTTTCCAAGACGGCGTACTGCTCGGATATGATTTTGGGCTACTCTGTTGTCCCTTACGCTGCAAAATCCAGCCTGGGTGCATCCGAGAAAGAAAGGTAGAGTCCCTCGATATGTATCGTACAATATATGATCTCTTATGACGGTTTTGATTAAAAAGTATGTGATGGAATTCGTGTTCGTTTTCCTTAGATACTGACGTTTGGAAAACTAAACCACTTCAATAAACACATGGAACTAGTCTGTAGGGCACTTTCTTTGCCCACCGGTCCCACTCCGCTCCAAACCGATCGCGTAGTAGCCTGTCTTCTTCTGGCATCCGTGTAATCACCGCAAGTAGGCCAAGGAAGAACAGAATCCAGTATACGCATGCCCCCAAGCGCCCCGCCGTTGTATCCAACACACCACACTCCTTCGCCCATGACCCACGACTTGCGTTGCACACCGTCACGCCGGCGGTAAAGAGCAATCCGGAAGTGTAGCTCGGGTGCCGGACATACGCGTATGGTCCTTGCGTGACGAGTTTGTGGTCGTTGCGGATCGTGACCTCGAACGTGAAGAGACGTCCAAGAGTGCGATAGCAGGATATGCGGCCGAGTGCGCCTGCGGCCGTGAGGATACATCCAATGATGAATGTGTCCGAAATAGTGATTCGGTCGGCGAGCTCTCGAGGACCAGGGATGAGTGCCTTGAAGACCATCTTGGACAGCGGGTGCGTGGGCCATTCAAGCGCCAACAGTACGGCTATCTCAACGATGCTTCCCGCGCACATGGACAACTGCAGAGAGCTAGTGAGCGCTTTGTACCTCCAGCGGAGAGGGGCTGAGCTAACCTTGGTCATCGTTGCATATATGTGGGCCAGGGCAGAGAAATGCTTTTCCGTCTGAGAAACGTCCTTGGGGCGCTCGTTGGCCGGAACACGAGGATTGGGAGGAGTCAAGGTGATATGGCTCCCCGCCACAGCAATCAGGAGCAGAGGTACTTTCGCGAGTGACATTTTCCGAGACTGCGCATAGAACCATTCACGATATGGGTATATAAAGCAGCGTAAACTCTTGATTGGATTCAGCGTCGGCTTGGCTCCCGTCCTCCCGTCACGATGCGGCTGCCCCATTACAACTCCAACCGCGTTGTCGAAGGCGGCGGAACCTGCTTAAAAGATAATATCCAGCATTCCGCTCGTGCTAAAGGGGCTGCTTCGTTGCCCAGTTGTTGGCTCAGGGGCTGCACTATATGGTCCCGTATCCCGACGCGCTATTTACTGAATCATCGTAATTAGAACGAGCACAGCAGCACTCTTTGTTGGCTTCGCCTCGTCCTGGCAACTCGAATTTTTGCGACGTGCTCGATGCGAGCTTCCGTCAAGGGCAATAATTGACAACAGGCACCATGCGCTGAGTATGTCAACAGATATAGGGGGTAAGCTCATTTGGAATCGTTCTGCGCCTTATTTATCTTCCAGCACGGCCTCCTCTGCGGGAATCTGCCGGGAAGCATGTGCCAAAAATCCCGCCCCGCCTGTGTTGAGTTTCTCGTTGCCATGCGCCCATGCCCCTCTGCTTAAATGAAAAATGGCCACCTTAATCCAGCCCATCAGCCCGGGAGAGTTTTACGTGCATCGCGGTGTAGGAAGCGAGTGAGCTTGTGCTAGTTGTCTCGAATCGCGAACTTGGAATGTAAGAAGCACTCGGTGGAGAATGTTTGGGTGACGACCGTTCTATTTGTGGGCTCGCGAGGGCCGTCTAAGATCAGGGCGTGAGGAAATAGCTAGGACAGGAGACACGCGGCAACTAGACCAACCTCATAGCCAGATTTGTGTAATGAACATATTAGTTATACTTGAACAGTTGGACAGAATGCGAGGACGATGACTTCAGGCAGGCTTCCATACTGTTTGATCGTCTAGTATATGTGGTCCGCGGTCACCAGTTCATAATGAATTAAGGCAATCAATAAATGTATGGTATCACTCGATATCGAACTCTACTCGCCCACTCGTCCCATCGCGACCCAAACCGCGCTCGTAACAATGCGTCTTCTTGCAGCATACGCAGTGGCATGTACATCAACCCCACCGCACACAGGACTGCATACAGGCCCGCTGCCACGCATCCGATGGTTGTGTTCAACACACCACATTCCCTGATCCACGAACCGCAGCCCATAAAGCATAAAATCGTTCCCACCCAACATGCTAGCCCTCCAGTGTAGCTGGGATGACGGACGTACTGGTATGGCCCATCAGTGATCAATTTGTGATCGTCCCGAATTGCAACTTCGAACGTGAAAAGATGCCCGAGAGTCCGATAACATACTTCGCGAACGAGGGAGCCTGTAGCTATGAGGGCGCATCCAACGAGGAATGCAGGAGAGGTGGCGATCCGCTGTGCGAACATGGGAGGGCTACGGACAAGCGTGTCCAAAATGCGCCGAGACAGTGAGTGTGCCGGCCATCGTCGTGCTAGGACGACGGCTGCCTCAAGGACATTTCCGGTACATATGACCATCTGAAAATTCAGGATCAGGATATCCAATTCAAGAATAGTGTCACTCTTACCATGCATGCCGCCGTGTATCGTCTAGCAGCAGCTGAGAATATTCGCTCGGCCAAGGAGAGGTTTTTTGGACGTTCGCGTGTTGGAGATCTGGGAGTAGGGGAGGTGAAGGATGTGTATGTACCCACAACATTCGCGAGGAGAAAGGGAACCTTGACAAGTGACATCTTTAGTGATGAAGGAAGACATGGCAGACGAGTACCTTTATATGCAGCTATCAGGTGGGTAAGCCTGGACGTGGTTGCGAAGAGCGCTCATTTACTGTATGGTTCGCTCGGCATCAATGGGCCTGTCTGTCACGCGATAGAACTAGACAGAGATTCGGACGGCATCGCCAAATCGCCCAAGTTGCCCCAAGGCTCATCAACCGAGAATCCATCTGTACAAATTGTACAGAATCTGGAGAGTTCGAGACGGAACCACGCTTCTATAGCTCTGGGAAGAGGTTCAACAGTTGGAAGTCGCCTTTGGCGCCCCGAATCACAATTGCGTGACCATCTCGTCACATTGTCACAGTTTACTGCTCCAGGCTATTCCAGGACGCAACCATCTGGCAATGTATCTTTACTCAACGCTCCGAGTCCGTCAGGAACGCGGCTCTCCCCCCAGTCCAATCCCTGACGTCTAGATGGCTGCTCATTGTGCTCGTCCGATCCGACCTATAAGGCGTTTGATCTATCCCACGGTGTGTTCACCGGCTGATATCCATGGTGCGCGTATCTGTCAATGTTTGATCTACCTGCACTGCTTGTGAATATCAGTAATGTGATCGTGAGCTTTAAGTCGAGACATAGGATTGACCGAGACTACTTGAGTACCCGTTTACACCCTCGACTCCTCGCAAGCTCGGCTAGCATATCCAACCAAATGGATACCAACACGTCAGTCCGTTTTGAGAGTCGCTGCTGCTGGTTTAACGAGTCATACTTCTTTTGTCTGCAGCGTTGTGACTGCGTTCACGACAGGCAGGTCTCCTCTTTATTCTTTACTGGCGCTTATTGTGATGGCTTTTAGCCCTGGTCCTGTATGAATACTGTATCACGCTCAGCATGGAGGTCTCCTGCTTCTGGAAGAGAAAGCACTCAGTAGTCACAGTCCTCTTCTTCCTGAATCGCTATATATGTTTGATAAATCGGGTCATAATTATGACGCCGGTTTTCTGGCAAGATGTTCCGGTGAGCGGGACTTCTTTACTTTCTTAATGCTGCTTAATCCGAGATTTACCACTAGAGGTAGCGTTTCCCCCGTGTATTCCGGTGTAGCTGAAGCTCATGGACAACAGCTGCTCAGCCATCTTTTTTTGGTTTGAAGGTGCCTTCTCATCCTTAGGCCTCATCATTGCTGCTGGTTTGTGCTTCTAGGTCTGGGGTTCGATTTGTTAACTAAGTGTCGTTACATCCTGTAAGCGATCTCGACGATCAGGACGTTCGCGCTATGGAATCGTAGTGTCACCTTAGCCACCCTGGTGTTGTTATTCGGCTTGGTGCCGCCTATCATGTCTCTGGTATGTCTTCGATCTCAGCGCACGGTTTCTGTCTTTATGTGAAGCACATCTAGTATTTTTTATCGAGAGCTAGAACACAGGCCTATGTCAACGTGGATGGATCTTTTTGTGGCTTATCATCTCCCGCGTGTGTATTCTTGTATGCCAATTCTTCCCTTTCGTGAGTGATAACTTGAATTATAGTTCAAGTGAGTACCTTGTCAATATGATCAGATAGATGTCTCACTCCTACTAGCCACAGATTGGATCTTTTATGCTTCCCGTAGCAGTGCCATTGTGGCAGATATCCTGGTCATGGTTTTGACCTGGATGAAAACTTACGGTGTTCATTGTAACTCAGTACGACTTCGTAGTGAGACAAGCCTGACTGGAGTTATTCTTAGGGATGGTATGTCTACATTCCACTGATGTAAATTCACGTTAAAATGAGTGCTTATTGCAGGACTTTTGTATTTCTTGTGAGTTCATTATCATGGGAAATGAGAGGTTGAGTTAACGTTTTGTAGCAATATACTCATATTCAACATATTCACAATATTCATTGTTCCAGTGAGTATCGTGTATCCATCGACTATTTGCTACATATATGACTCAGCGTACTTTTGAAGCTCTCTGGCATAGTGAGCCATTCATGTTTGTGTACGGTTTTCTATGTGCGACTCAACGAGCCTCTGAAGGCCTTTGGTCTTATCGCAAATTTCGCAGACCTTGCAGCGTGAGTAATGATGTATCAATTTAGGTCTTTCCTGATGCATATTGTCTGCTGGCAGCTTGGAGGCAACCTTCATGTCCCGATTCATGCTTGACCTTCGCTCTGCTGCTTATAAATCAACAACAGAGTTCTCTACTGAAGCTTCAATAACCTGGAATGTAGTTGATGAGATGGGTGTCCGTTTTAGAGATGTGGATCTTGGCAGTATGGAAGATGATTAAGCGCAAGTTACTTTTTTCATACCAAGCTGTCTCTCATCTTTATATGCAAGTCGATAGTCAAGACTTGACTATCGCAGTCTCCTCCAGGGTGTGCTTATATGTAGCTGTTTCGCGCATCCGTTAGAAGATGTTAAGGATGTTTTGCAATCCAGTAGTACTCGTCATATTTCTTCATCATGCCAGGAAAGGGCGCCTCCGTAGCATTTCAGGTAACACCCATGAATGTGGCAGCCTCTCAGCTAGCGCATCCCGCAATTTCAGCCAGATTGACCCTAGCACTCTATATGGGCCTGTTTTGTTGATAATCACAGTGTGATTTCCAAGATGCAGGTTGCTACAACATACATGGTTATGTCTGTCCTGAACATATGAGTAGACATTGCTCTAGCCCCACAAGTGTGTCTGGTTACATTTTCATATCTGGACATGTGGAAACATCCGCGTTCCTTCATTGGGTCAGAAATCATGGGAGATGAATCCTCGCCAATTCACAGATGGACCTCAGCAGCCAAGTGCATGCAGTTATACATCATCTAACTTATCATCATCCAGACCATGTAGTTAGGCTAGCATTTGATCGCCGCGAATAGACATCACTCACATGTCAATAAACATATGGGACCAATTTGTATGGTACCACCTTTGCCCAATTCACCCACTGTTCTCCGAAGTGCGCGTGCAAGAGCGCATCCTCTTGAGGTATGCGCTGTATTGCGCCCAAGGACCCGGCCAGTAATAAAACAGCATACAGACTTGCCGCAACCCGACCCACCGGAGTGTCCAGCACGCTAGATTCTCTCGTCCATGAGCCCCGGCTCGCGTTGCACATTGTAATCCCTATCATGGATACAAATGCAGCCGTATAGCTTGGATGTCGAATGTATGCATACGGCCCGCAGGTTACAAGCGAGTGGTCCTTCAAGATAGCAAGCTGGAACGTAAAATTACGTCCAAGGGCGCGATAGCACGCCACGCGACCTAATCCGCCCGCAACCACAAGCCCGGAGCCGACAAAAAACATAGGAGAGGTGGTAATGGGACCAGATACGCGAGCTTCGTAGAGTGCGCTCAGGATGCGTCGAGATAATGGGTGTGCGGGCCACGATTTCGCGAGAATCACAGCAGTCTCCAGGAGACTTGGGCTGGACGTAATAAGCTGGCGATGAGACATGATGCTGAGAGAAAAAAACTGATGCATTAGGCAATAAGATGGATACCTTCAATCCGATTGCCAATGAGTGAACAAGAAGAGACAAAATCCGCTCTGTTTGTGAGACATTCTTGGGGCGTCCCGAGGCCGGAACATGGGAATTAGGGGATGTAAACACGACATAGCTCGCCGCAGAGCAAGCCAAGAGGAAGGGTATTTTGGCAAGAGTCATTCAAATGAAAGTGCCTGAAGAAGGGATCGGTCTGAGTGTGAAGCGGGGCTTTCATACACCATCATTGCGTGGGACGGCGTCGAGCTGAGATTGAAAGTTGTAAGGATCTGTGAAGTACGGATCTCTTGGAAAGCAAACCTTCTAATTTTTCCTCACCATGACAGATGCGAATGAATTAAAATCAGGCTTAACGCGGGAACGTAGGTAGACGTGCTGCTATCAAATACCTATCTCCCGAGATCTTTCCTGACCAGTGTCAGAAGAGCACGACATAGGATATGGATACGCATAATATCAGCAGGATGGGACAGATCAGCGCAATTTGGAGTGGAGAATATGTATACCAACTGTTACTCGTTCCTCTACAAGTCAACGTCGATTAGCTCGGTAGCATCAATTCATTGCTGGGAGGGTGTCAAGATAAGAGTCCAATAATCGTCAATGACTGCCGATAGAAGCCATACTCACCAGACGCTCTCATTGAAATACGGAAGCGGCCAACTCCACGGCGTCTTCTTGGTCCAATTTCTAGCGCTTTAATTGCTCCCACAATGCTGCATCCTCTTATAACTGCTCTGGTGCAGGCTTATTCATTAGTTTGTATCGTATAGATGTGGCCGGCACATAATTACATGCACAGCATGATACTTATAATGAACCAACGCCACTCTAGAACACGATGACAAATTAGCACGCCTAGGAAACTCATCGTACTTGCATGTTATCAGAGGCCTAACTTGGAACAGCGTTTCCGCGTTCATGCTGACAGATTGATGATAAACCCCGGTAGGGCTTACCTTTAATGTTCAACTATTAGTCGCGGGTGCACTAGTTGCCCGAGTTTCTTGCTCTTTTTTCAATTAAAATGGCTTCATAGACATCACAAGCAGGGCTGGTCTTGGCTTAAGGCACAACTTGTGCGCCAATGTCTACCCTAGCAGTTTAAGGTATGTCTCAAGCCGGCATATGTTGAAAATATTAGCATGAGAATATAAGTTGAGGGGCCCCATGGACTAACCCGCAAATTACTCAGTATACATACGGAATGAGTTTGTATGGTACCTTCCTCGCCCACGTTTCCCACTGTGCCCCAAATTGCTCCCGTAATAGCATATCCTCCTGCGGCATGCGCATCACGACTATGGCATACACGCCCAACACTAACAGACTGATGTCGAACACCCCCAAAATCTGCCCAGTAATAATGTCCAGGACGCCGCACTCTCCCGCCCACGAACCACGACATACAGAGCACATAGTCACCCCCAACGCGTATAAGCTTGCAGCCGTGTAGCTAGGGTGTCGGACATAGGCGTATGGTCCGCGGGTCACGAGTGAATGGTTCTTCAAGATAGCGACCTCGTAGGTGAAGTGACGTCCGAGTGTACGATAACAGAGCGCACGGATTAATGCACCTCCAGTGACCAGGCTGCAGCCGACTAAAAACATGGTGGAGATTTTGATCTCGTCTGCGAGAGCGTGCGGTCCATTAACGAGAGTGTTCAGAACATGTTGTGAGAGCGGGAGCGCGCGCCAATTTCGCGCAAAAATCACAACGACCTCAAGAATGCTCCAACCGCAAGTGGAGACCTACGGAAACAAGTAGTTGAAGTAAATTTCGGCTAAGTAGAGATAAACCTTACCTTCAGAAGTAAGGTCCAAGATCTGATAATGGCAGAAAATATATGCTCCGTGAAAGAAACGTTTTTGGCGCGTTCTTCTGCAGGCACCTTGGGATTAGGAGGAGTAAGCGCGATATAGGTAGCCACCGAATTGAGTAGGAGTAAGGGTATCTTAGCAAGGGCCATTGACCTGGATGTACGTCTCGTTAATAACGATGATGGCACTACGGCTGGGACCATTTAAATGCCCCTCCCAGTGAGGCGCCCTGCTACGTGGTTGCATGAACAAAAAATTAACGACTACACCACAATCGCTCACCCGTAGTGAAATGCCAGGATCAGGAGTGCATTCCATGTCCGTGAAGCCACACGGTCATTAGCATACATTCCTATAGGAATGAAGACTGCGAGCCATAAGCGCAGGGTGATTAGTGCATAGCCTAGAGCTAGAGTGGCTGAACGCGCGTCATTAGTAGGCTGAAGCTAGTTTGCGACACATTCGCCATACTTTGATCCTCAATTCACACTGCTGAGAGGATCATACAAATTGCCAAGGGTAATATCTGACTAGAGAGGAAAGCGATGTCAGTTTGGCCAGAAAGCGTACTTACGACCTTCGTCAAGAGGCATCGACATGAACTATAGCAAAATGTTGCCGGGGCAATTCGCTATTGAAACAGGAACTAGCCGAGGACGGGACATGCGATTAGACGCGCGTGAAGCGAGACCATCTACGAAGTACCTGAAGCGCAGCATGTTTGACACTAACTGCCACCTTGCCTATATGCAGATCTTTTCTCTGAGGTCCATTGTCCAATACATCAGCTGCAAGTGGGAATGAGTAAGCCTCGGCATGCGTGATCTAAGACAAAATGAGCTTGCAATGCTCATACGACGTCACTTGCTCAAGCGCGGTTGGGCCGATAGAGGCTAAATTGTACACAGCAGTAGCATGTATTCAACGACCATCAAATTGAAGCGCCAAGTCGGACAACTCAACAATTCAAGAGGTAGCACTCGACAGCAGGGTACTATGAGTCCACATCCATCACACTCGAGTCTTCATCCTCGGCATCTTCTCTTCGTGTGCGCCGTCGCGCTATTGGCGGGCTGTCCATGTCCGTCGCAGGTCCTTGGGCACCCACAGGTAAGCCAACGGGAGGTGCGAGCGCATGTGATTGCTTAGATTGAACGGGAGAAGGCGCAAGTAATGATCCACGCGCGTCAGCAGACTTAGATCGTGTGCGGCCTTCACGGACGGATCGCGCTGAGGGATTGAAATAGCCACATTTCGGGCAGACGTACTCTGTAAAATGGGTCCCACAAAAGTGTAAGTAGGAATGAATGATCAAGTGCTGGGTAGCAAAAAAAGAGAAGGTGTGACGTACGAGCATCTTGCCACATGCTCTCCTTCACGAGCCCATTATGCACAAAACACTTTTGACAAATCAGAGCGTATCGCGATGAGGCACCACCAGATGGACCTTCATCATCGCCCAAAATTGCATCTGCGAGCTTGTCATACCATTGCTTGCGTGGAGGAGGTAAGGGTCGTTGAGGTGATGCTGACCAGCGAGATCTGCGTTAGTCAATTATATACTGCATATGAATCACACGCACGCGACAGACGCTGTTGACCTGGCGGCGAAATAGGCGCAGGAGCAGGAGTTTGTAAGGGAGGCTGTGGGCCTCGTTGGGGTGTAGCCGGTATACCAGGAGGAGATTGTGGGACACGAATTCTGGGTGGGCTGTCGCTAACGCTATTTGCGGTGCCCTCGTCGTAGCGTTCAATCAAATTGCGTGTTGAATAGTAATTTGTTTTGCTCTTGAACTCCTCGACCTTGTCACGTTGCTTCTTACGTAGTGCCGTAAGGGCCTTCTCTGTGAAAGGTCAGACAGGGGTATCACACACAGAGGAACCCGTAGACATACCTTCAGCATCCCCAATACGTGTGTACCATATTTGCACAATACGGCGAATAAAGAGAATCCTGTAGCACCATTCCTTTCAGTTCCAGCCACGCTTACATTCAGAAAACGACTCACACGATCGGTCCCACGAACACAGGTATGCTCTTTACAGCCTTTTCAAACTTACTTCTTCTATCGTGGCCGCTGAGGTTCGGAAGGAGCTTTGCATACCAAAGACCGCTCCAGATGGCCCAAAACGCAAGCGCGTAGACGGAGAAGAGGAGAGTCGAACGACGTTCGCGCAATCGAATCTCGGATAGACGTGTTTGTCGCTTCTGTATATCAAGCTTAAGAGATTCCAGGACTTGGCCGTAGTCCTCTGACTTTTTCTGTTTGTGTAGTGAGTAAGTATCAGGCTAAGGGGTAACCGCTGAAGCTGTACAACGATTGACCGTACCCGAGAAAACCAACCAAGGAATGAAACCATAGCTAGATACACTGGACACAAATGAGCGACTTGGAAGATGTGATACAGACAGACACAAGAGAGAAGAAAGAGGAGAGAATTAGACTGTATTCCGCGAACAACCTGAGACTGACGACTGTAGTTTGTGGCCTTTGTCGCGTCACACAACTCTCGATGTAAGTATCATGTGCACACATCCGGCTGCAAATTGTGACTTTGTTGTGATTAGTAGTGTGACTACGTCACCACTTACGACGTGACTGCTACAGTCCTCTGAGTCCTGCTCACACGTTTCGAACGTGTGCACTGGACTTTTTTGTAGCAGAGGCATCCTACACTGCTCACACTTATCCCCACAATTGAACACTCTAAGTACGTTCAGTATTTTTGATTTGAATCGTAGATTGCTTCATATCAGTTACACTAAGTCAAGTCTGGCTGCACCCCCAAATCGTTTTTGCGTGCTTGCCCACTTGCATATTCCATTCCTTGGTTGTTTCTCGACCGTAGCATGGCAAATCTCGTCGATATGCATATGGGCGCGGAGCTTAAATCCAGAGATAAAATGGCTGTACGCTCGTTGCCAGGCCCGAGCTACCGAGGAGTTAGAATAAGGTTACCTCAGGCTGATGCATTGCCACTTCGTGCTCTCATAAGGTCGTGAGGGATGGTAGTGGTATGCCAGCGAGTACGGGATCTGTCGCAGGCGGCGACGCTGAAGATCTGACGCTTGGCTTTGATTTGTACGTTCATTCCACGCGTATACTGAAAGTGTTAGCCTGCGCTCTTTGCCTTTCCAAGTAGCGGTGACAGTCCCGAAAGACCTATCTACATGGAGTCTCTTTCTAGTGACTCCTGTGTTTATTCCCTCAGTCATCACTATCGCCGTGCGACGTGTTGATCTATTTTCAGAGACGGCTCGGCGTTTCTGCCTGCTAAACTATCCTCCCATTTATCCTGCAGCTTGATCCTCGGGATCAACTTATCGATAGATATCTAATACCTCCGTTGAACGTCGTCGAGGGGCCCGGGAGCCCAACGGGGGAGCTCTTGTACTCAGACGTGTCGGAAGAGGCATTCGATCTGGTAGATCTGGGGCATTTCGATAGCGTCCCTTAGCCCGCCACGATCAGGTACATTATACAACTCGAATTATATCTGTACCGTCACCTGCAACTCATATTTTAACTCGCAGTTCGGTCAGCCCGAACTTGGTTGGACGTGTATGAATGACTATAGTACAACCGGAATGCAATCAGGTAATTACATCTTCATAACCTAAAAAAAGAGACCATCGTGACCGTTTGTAACCGTGTCTTCGACATCCGGGTACGAGAGCGTATGAACACGGAGATGATAGCCGTGTCCTCTTGGTATTCTCATCTTCACATCTCTTCGGGTCGTATTAATACGCTGACCCCTCCTAATGATGGCACTCCTTCTCCCCGGCGTTCCTGTTGTGGATCCTGACTTGGCTGATTATGCGTCTTCTCAGCTTGTTGTCCGTAGCGTCTATTGCCCGGAGTCTCTGGGCACAGGGGAGCGACACTGGATCAGGTCCCGCAGGATACGACACTTCCCGCATCGGCCCCTCGAACGCGATATGTACGCGCGAGACGTACTACCTGGATATCACCAGCGACAATTACAAGTTTGAAAATGTCATGCTCAATGCTAATGAGGTGTGCCGATCGTCCCTGTAGCTGCGGCCGCGTACGCAGTTGAGCTGACTCCCGTGTCCCAGACGTACCTCACCAAGCTACTGCAAGAGTTCGTCACGTCTTTCCCATATCAGTCGAATTTTACGGACATGTACGCGTACGGCACCGAGACTGTGGCCAACACTTACGCCCTCTCTGGCACCCTCTGCCTTCCCAAGGACGGTCCAGTCAACATCACCAACATTCAGCTGCTCATCCATGGCATTGGCTTCGATTCCAGGTATGTATTCCCCATACGCACTATATCTCTGATCATAACACACAACACACACAGCTACTGGGACTTTGCGCCCGACGGGGGTGACAGTTACTCGTATGTATACGCTGCGGCCGCTGCCGGTCTCGCGACCTTCCGCTACGACACCCTTGGCACGGGCCTCTCCGCGCATCCTGCCGACGCGTACAATGTCGTGCAGAAGCCGACGGACGTGGCGATCGCGATCAGGTTTGCGGAGATGTTGCGTGCGGGACAAATTGGCGCGCGTGCATACACGAAGATCGTCGCAGTGGGACATAGCTATGGCTCCATCCAGGCGCAGGCGGTCACCGCGCTCGCACCGACTGCCCTTGATGGCGTCGTGCTGACAGCGTACAGCGGAAATGCGTGCGTAGTATATTTCGTCGGCGCGCGGGGAGGCTGACGAGTCTCTGCGTTGGCTATAGGACGGCGCTGCCGCTATGGTGGGCGTCGACCGCGTACTCAACTGCGTCGCTCATAATGCCTACGCGTTTCTCGCCGGAAGAGCTTACTAATCCCTACCTCGTCACTCTTGCCGTGAGTTTTGCCTCGCGAGTGGCAGTCCCTCGCTGACCTGATATGACCCCGCAGCCGTGGACCTCGCAGCTAAATTACCTTTACTTCCCCTACTATGCGGATAGTATTGCAGCATACGCACGCGCGACGGAGCAGCCGGTGACGCAGGGCGTGTTGTTCACGATCGCGAACAACATTACAGCTGCGCCAGCGTTCGCTGGCGACGTCCTCGTGGTGCGTGTCCTGCCTACCTTTTCCTGTGTCTATATTACGCAGTGGTGCGCTGAGCAGACGACATCTCGTTGCAGATAACGGGCGCGCAGGACTGGATCTTCTGCTACGGAAACTGCTACGCGGTCCCCCCGGGCAGCGGGTACACGAACATCCCCGCGGGTGTGGCAGCACTGTACCCCGCTGCGCGCGAGTTCGACACATACATCCCGCAAAATTCTGGGTGAGTGGTGCCTGTTGTTGTCGTTGGCAGCCGGCGTGCTGATGGCGATATTGGGAACGTGGCGCGTAGACACAACCTGTTCCTGCAATACTCGGCACCTGAAACGTTCCAGCAGATCATACAGTTTGCGTCAGGTGTGTTTGCGTCGTGGTAGAAGCCACGGGTCGTAGACCGGAGGAAAGTCGTAGATTCATAAATAGACTTCTTTCGTTTTTGACTGCGATGCAAGGTCAGTATGGTGCTCTGGGTACGCGAGCCCGAGTATGGATGGCTACGTATGTCAGATGCAACACGTCTTGTGTAGGACCCTCGGTATTTCGAGCTTCATGCCTTACATACAGTAAGTGTAATTCTGCAGAGTAACTTGAGCGTGTTCGCGCATCTAAGGAGGCTAGGGGGCTAGCTCACCAAATCGCCCCGTAAAGCCTTTCCCAAAATGTGGAGTATCAAAGCAGAAGCCATGGGTCAAGTACCGAGTCATCATCAGAGATCAGCCAAAATTTTCGAGCTAGACTGATCATCATCTTATCCATACAATCCTTTTTGACGTTGGCCATATCTGCATAATAGTACACTGTACAACGCACGCCGTAATCCCTAATTGTACAACCACCCGGACCAAACTGCATCAAAAAGATTTCTTGAACCTATAAGTAGACACGCAGTCCTCAGGCGTACTTCCCAAGCAGCACCGAAACTTTCTGTAATCCGTTCTCCGCGTCGCTTGCAGTGGCGATGATCGTAGACGGTGTCGAGGTAGCGCCTACGTCGGAGGGCGCCTTCAGTTTCGCCAGCTGGCCCGCGGCACTCTGAATGTCGCCACCGCTAGTCTGCAGCACGGAGATTCCTACGGAGGCTGCGTCGCTACTCGCAGTCACAACGCATCCAACGAGATTTTGAACTGTCGACCCAGCATTAGTAACTCGTTGTGATACGGCTAGTGGGGCTCTGCACACGTACTTGGATTGCTGGTGCCCGAGTCGAAGGAGGCCAGTGCTTTCCGCACAGTGCAGGGCTCGAGGAATAGGTTCGTCGTAAAGCATACAGAGATATCGCCCGCATCGAGTGCAATCAAGGCCGGATACACAGACCCGCCTGTGCCCCAGATGCTGATCGTTAGGCGGAGTGCGTTGGGCCTGTACGGCGAGGATACACACCTATCTTCGGAATCGCAAATACCCCGCCGTCGGAACCCAGAAATATGTCGTCGTCGCCTTCTGTGAGAACCTTGGCCCAGTCGGAAGTCTTGTCGAAATTCAAGGTGTCAACCACCAGGTAGGGCTTCGCGATGACTTGCTTGACGAAGGATTCGCAGGCTAAGATAGCCCATATTCCGACTGTGAACGAGTTGATGACACTGTAGAAGAGATTAACTGCATGTCACAAGGCTCGTAGTGGTGCGGACGCAGTGAACATACTTTGCACCAGCAGCTGACGGGGAGCCCTCGTACTTTACTGTCAGGACACCAGCTGTAGTAATGACACCGGCTCCAGCCAGTGCATCTTTGAGGGCCTGATCGGCTTTGTTCTTAATTGCGCCGGTACTATCCTTCACATACTTAGTGAACCACGACTTAAATGCAAGGCTAGTCTGCGAGATGTTCTTGAGGTCCTTGCCAAACTTCCCGACCAGACTCCACTCATTGCACACAATCAGATCCCCTCCTTGGTACCCGATCTGTGTGACATGCTCAGGCTGATCTGCGTAGCACCACTTAGTGCTGACGCGTTGAGAAAATAAAACGCGAGCACTCACCAGTTGTACCGACGCCGCGAGTCCAGATGTAGATCTCGCCATCGGTATCTTGGGATTCGCAGACATAGACCGTCTGGTCCAGTTTCCGATTGTAGTATTTAACCCACGCCTTGCTTTCGTCTAGGTCCGCGATGCGTGCGAGGACTGCGCCCACAGCTTTTCCGGCCTGAACCTTTGCTTGGAAGAGCTTCTCTACGCCATCGGACTCGATGTCCCCTGTGGCGTCGCGAGCTAGCTGCGCCTCCAGGCGCATATTGCACGGCAGCGGGCTCAAAGTGAGATCGCCGTCTGTCCCGGTGTCGCCACCAGTTCCTCCGGCTGTCTTGACATACTTTCCTATATTTCGCAGTTGGGAGTGATAAATGGAAATAAAATAGAATAATACTCACCGACATACTGGAGCCAGATGATGCGCTTTGAATCTTAGAAACAATAAATGCTTGAAAGCTACCACAGCGACAGGAGCATACCGTAGTAGACCTGAAGATCATTGAGCGGAGGCAAGTTAGTATCCATGTAGTAAGTCTGAATGCTGGCCCAGTTTCGGCCAAAACTTGTCCAGCCCCTGGTCGGGCTAAATATATTGAAACAATATAGAGAGCCGTCCTCTGTAATGGACAATCAACCCTTGTAGTTGAATTCAGTGTTTTTTTACGAACCAGTTGCTGAAGAAGCTAGAGGACGGTTTAGCAACTCCGTACCAGTAAAATTGTACGAACATACCCGTAAAGCGTGTGACGAGTTCGCCTTTCTGTCGGTCCCATGCTTGGACATTCGCAGTCTGTTGGCCCATGACTTTCGTCCACACATTGTTGGGGTAGCCTATCTTGATACCAGAAACGATGCCGCAGTCAGGTTTGTAAAAATAAACGCGAAGTCCAGTCATCTCTTCTGTACTGCCTGTATAAAAAGTGTAATCCCCGACAGACACGTAGTCATCTGACGTCGAGGAAGAGACTTTGGCATTGCGCTGTTTCGCTGTAACGTGTGGTACCGGCTGTGGCAGATAGTTGAGAGGCAGGGCGAATCCATCGTTTGTTTGGTCCACGGCTTGAAAGCCGGACCGCAAAAGGGACGCTGTGAGTGAAGGGCGAGGCATAGGGAAGAATACAGACTTGAATGAGGTTGTGGTCGCGAAATCTGTGCCAATTTATAGTAAAAGGATACACGGAAATATATACCCTACTCGTGAGGCACCATCCCATCATCGGAACCAGAACGGGAGTTTGTAAGGCCAGAATGCGTGTATTGATCCCCCTGCTGCGAAGACGGCCAGAACCGCAGTATTTATACACAGGTTCACGGACATGTTAAGGCCCGAGGTCCATTGGGAAAAGCGAAGAAGCAAGGGACCCTAACAAAATCATCATCTGATGAGGTCCCATTCAGTTTCATCATCAAAAGTAACATTGCCGTAGCGGCAAGGGTGGCATCTTGACATTGCACTCAGATTGTCATGACATGGAACGTAGTCGATGCTGGTCCACGCGCATTGATGAACCACACATACGTACTTACCAAAAATGGAAACACATTACCCGCGCTCCCTGAGTCCAAGCATTCATATGCCTCTCATTGCACGTTCTTCCACCGCACATCTCCCACCAAGTAAGATCACCGCCTGCCCGTTCAGCGAGTTGAATTCCTCTTCAATCCCAGCGACAACCTTCGCTTCACCACGCGGTACAACAAGGTACAGTTTCCATTGGCCGCGATTTCACAGAACACATCAATTGCAAAGAGATTAGAAAAACGCCTTCAAGGAGGCCATTTTCTGGCCGAGACTGAGCGATCTCTCTCCTCCGGCAACAATTTCATGCTGTGACTTCCCACGACATCATGGCGCACTAGTACTAAAAATGCATCGTAAGTTGGATCGTGACGCATGTACCCTCTGTGAGGGGGCCAGGAGTCGCCGACGGAAAACTTCACGCGGTCGAACTGGGTCTCTTCTGGACAAAATGGGCCGCGACGTTCCACGAGTTGCGGAAGACTTACTCTTTTCGGGTTACGGCGCGTCCGCGCGTGTAGTATTCAGTGTGAGGGATGGTGAATGCTGACTGTATATCATACTAATGCTTCGGCTATCGACTCGGAGCAACACGCAAGACGAGCTCATGAAGAAGTGGCATTCATAGACCGCCGTCAAGGGCTTCGACACTTTCACGCCAATCAGATACCCCCTCTTCCATGAACGTCGAAAGTGTCGGTGCCCCATACAATACAGTCTCCTTATTTTAGGACTGTTACTCAAGTGAGCCAGATCTTATGCCCCTGCTACAAATCGAAAGCGGCCTCCATCTCCACCTTCGTTTCACACTGTTCTCAGCATGTAACGAGAATATTGAAAACGATTTAGGTAGATGTACACAGCGATTTAAGCCTGGGAAGACAAGATACCAAGATACTCGAGTATCTATATGAGAGCTCAGAGTTCCTCCGGACGCCTTCGAAAATACAGCCTCGGAACGCATCTTCCTCGCTTGGTTACATACCATACGTCGATGATGAATAACTCGTCGAAGCTCATCTCAACATTGCCTTCCCAAAGTGGCTTGACACAACCACAACCACATTTCAAGTATTTCTGTGGACTTCGTTAGAATTTCATTGCGGATAAACACTAAACGCACATCATATAATTTTTTCAACGCTTTCGCAATACTTTTTCCCCACTTCTGCATACTTGGTATGTTTGCTCGCTCGAAGGAATTCACTTGGTGGTTATAATCCTCCTCACACTTGGGCCACTGGTGGTAATTAATAATGATAATAGAGATTAATGGATGGTAAAACGTATAACTCACTGAAATCTCAATCACGGGCTTTACTTCAAGACTATGGCCTTCGAGGGGGGTGAACGCAGGTTCGTTGCTATCCTTCAATAGTACTTCTCCACGGAGTAGCTTTGATAAGTTGACCCCGGGCTCATCAGATCCTACCTGATAGAACGTGGTTTGTAGCTCCAGTCGCCTGATGTCCTTTTCTTTCGTGTTCCGAAAGGTCTCGAACTGATATATCTGTGTGGCCAGGCGTGAAGGAGTACTCATGTCCAATAAAAAATATCTCTACCTTCATAATCGAATCAATCGTAAGTCCTTCATGCGACCCCTTGATCCATTGTCAGTGTCATGGACACCTCGAGAAATTATGCTCACACTTCCTTGCTCAATGACATCGAAACTTTTGTCATCGTCAACAGCGTCTGTTGAAAATATCTCCTTTACCAATATGAGTTCCTGCCACTATGGACTTGAATTGAAAAGATACTTACCATAGAATCCTCAACGAACGATGAGTCATTTGGGTAAGAATTCATGCAGAGAAGCGGGAGGACAAAGGTGTTAGTATCCCAGTCAGGGCACAGTCGCTTTAATGTGCCGCAAGCCATGTATTTCTACGTCCAGGTTGCATTGGACGCAAGATGCGGCACTACTCGATCCACACACGGAATATCTAGGTGGTATACCAAGATATCTTGCGAGGGTACATCAAGGTCCACCTATGGCATATCCCACCTGCGTTAGACGGTGAGGATAAGAAGAACCTACCAACAAGTTGTTATGCAGGATATTTTAAAGAATTGAGACTGAAGCATGATCATAACTGACCCAGCGCCTACGGGTCAGTGGCCTCTGGTACGTAAAGTTTGCGGATATGGACCAAAATATCTGAGCTATCTGGGAGGGAGAGGCCCCACAAATAAATGAATGTCTGATATCTGAAAGTTGCTACGCAAAAAATCTGACTTGGATGGCAAAGGTCTTGAGAATAGCCTACTTCTTGAAGAATAACATCCGGAATATCTGCGATCATGATCACTTGCATCAAAATGATGACCGCCTGATATCCAGTTCGCAATGACATCGCCGTGACTGGAAAACGAATGACAACGATTAGAGAACATAAGAAATCCTATAATCCAGGACCAGTCCCGTGCATCCCTGCGCATTGTATGTTTGAGTTCCGAGGCTTTCACATGGATATCTGCAGTACCGCGAGGAATGAAGCAAGGTCTGCTACTCAGAGACCACTTTGCAGCCAAACTCGATGGCTCCTCACGTGTGCGGCATCCATAAATCTGCTGGCCGAAGCTGCAGCATTGGGTGCGGATATTCACCGTCGGCCTGCAGCATGACGGTGGAGACAAGTGTCCAGTGTCCACTCTAAGAGCGGCTGTGATGCCCTCTACATATGTCAACGAACGAAATTTGAGGATCAATTTTACGCACCTAGGCTATATCGAGGCACGGTGGCTAGCGTAGGGTCGCTGACAGAGAAGAATTGCCGCAGCCGCACTTCAAAGAATGGTGGATATCCCACCAGGCCTGCCGGCGTATCCTTCATGGATACTGTGTCCGTACTATCCAGTGACCATACGCGCGTCTTGGATTGGCTGGGTTGAACCGATATATCCGGGTCCGAGCGTCACGGCAGCTTCCCGTAATTCGCCTTCGCAAACACTGCGCTCGTATGGTATGATATCGGCTCGTGCCCTGTTCAAACTGGTTGTGCGGGGAACCTACAGCGGGACGATAAACCAAACGGTATCCGAGTCGATAATATGTTCGACTGAAGACGCGCTCGCGTGCATAAATCATGTCACGTCCGTGACCGCGCACACTCAGTGAAAAGCAGCATCCAACATGGTAGTTCACGATGACTCTTGATCCCTTGGATCAAATATAAGGTAAATGGTGGGATATACAACGATTTATGATACGAAAAGTCAACACGATTTCCAAAGTATACACAACGTTTGCTCGAATAAATAATGATATATGTATGTAGATGATGAATCCTAGTTCCAGACAATGAAAATGCCAAAGCATAATTATAGACACAGCAGATACGGAGGGCTCACAGTTTCTTTACTTTCATTTCCCACATACCATCTTTCCCCCTAAATAAACCTTCAAAAACAAAGCGCTCCATAAGAAAGTCGACACGGCGCACGCCCTTATTTCGCTCCTCTTGATTGTCGCATCGTTCCGACCACGCACGGGCGATGCGTTCTCGTACACTCTCGTCCATCTCGTTATTCCAGTAATCCGCCTGGGAGATTGGCGTCATCATTGTGACATATATTGCGCTGAAAAGCTCGTGCAGTGTCACGCCTGTTGGGTTCTTGCTGTCCACGTCGATATACCAGGGGAAGCGCGCGCAGTACAGCCGCATGAACACTTGTGGCGGCTCGCACACGAAGCGCGTCAGGTCGTACTCGTTCACCGGACGATCGATGGAGCGAAAGCGCACCATTAGCGGATGCTGTCGCAGGTCATAATGCATCGATGGCGCTGAACCTGTATATCGTAGGAATGGGTGTAACTTGGGCATCCGCGATGAATCGAGGACTGCAGTGCACGGGTAAATTAAAAAGACCAAGAGAGAGAGAGCAACAGACGCACTCGCACCAGAGATCGACGCAGTCCGCGCCTTTGAAAATATGGAGCCAAGGGCGCCACTGATCGAGCGTGACATACTGAAGTCGGGTCGCCATTCTCGTGGCGGTCGCTTGCTGCTCTCGTCCCCCCGCGCCCCCAGCGCGCCCATCGACCGCACCGAACGCGACCGCGAGACCCCACTAGTTGTCGACGAAGGACTTGATGAATCCGAGGTCGAAGGCGACGGTAAAAACGGAGTCAGCGTCCGTGGCGTCGTGCGCGCGCTCGGGAAGCCCATATCATCCGTCTTGGGGGTGGAGAAATAGTTAGTATAGCGATCGTCCACGCTATCGTCTCCCGATCGTGGAGGCATTGCTGGGTTTATTGCGGCATTGTTCGCGCCAGGCGTCATCATCATCGGGGGAGGAATCATAGGCATCTGCCCTGGTGTCCCAGGCCAAAACATCATCGGAGGCGGCTGGGCGAAGGGCATCCAGGCAGTCCCGCCCTCGGCTCCAGCACCGGGGACGACGCCTGGCATGGCACCTGGAGGGGGATACATCATTTGAGGGGCATATGGGTATGAGGCTAAGCCAGCGGGCATTGGCGCGCCGCTCATCCCCGCGTACGACTCAGGCGCATCAACAAGAGGAGGCATATCAGAGGTATCAGCCATTGTCGTGGAGAGAGATAGAGTGCAGTGTAGATGGGCAGGAAAAGGACGGGGTACGATGCTTATCGAACACGAGGCAGGAAGGTCAGGACTATGAGGTCGTAATATATCGTCAGGCGGCAATCCGTAACGGGCGAATTCGTAGCTCGCAGCCTCGCACTCGGATGTTATAGCCCTCAGACTATACAAACAAGGAGGGTGTGGAAGCCAATGTAGCAGTGTGGGGGCGAGGTGCCATTGTCAAAGCCAGAGACGAACAAGGTGACCATAGTAGTAATATGAGGCTGCGCACGCTGTACAGCTGTTCGCTTCGTGTCATCGTACTTGCCAATGGTGCGGGTTTTATAGTCGTCGTTGCCTATAGGAGATCTACCTATGGATAACTTACAGAAAACTTGACGAGGGCAAGGGATTCGATATTCTTGGACTATTGGCGAGAAGCCGATTAAGACAAGTACAAAGTTTGGCAAACGTAAGAAAGGTTGCTAGGGACCACCGCCACCCGCCACTGGCTGACAATCAAGACTTAGAACTGGGTTCCATGCTACAAGATACTTGCAACCTCGAGGTAATAATAGAATATATGTGCGTCTATACTGCTCTCTAAAATATCGCTCCCTGAATCTCCTCTTCACGTTGTCGTTGAGTGATACAGGTTGCATAAACTCCGAGCCGGTCCGAATACAGGTGACACTTCATACATTTTGGATATGATCATGAGTGAGCTCGCACATCCTAGATTGTATAATGTTCGTTAGCAACCTCTTTTCTGCGAATGTATTTTCAGCAGGTACAAATGCAGGGTAGCAATAAGGCACGAACGTAATTCAAACTTGGTGTTCCACATCCTCCGATCTACGTGAATGTGGTCTGTGCTGGAACAGCACGAAAGCGTTGTGGGATACCCATGCCCAACGGAACGCTGCTAAATACCGGCTGGGCTTTGACCTGGAGGGCCGTGGTACATAGGACTGACCCCATATGGCCATCTTGTCCACCTCTCTGCTTGCAAAAACGCACCAAATACCCCCCACACACACGAAACCCCACAAAACGGCACTGAAGATGATTGAAATATCCTGTTCATAAAAAGATTCCAATGCGAAGGCTATAAGGAATGCTACCACTCTATGTGAAAGTAATCAGAATAGGTCAGATCTATCACTGAATAACCTACCCCCAAGCCAAGAAGGCGAACGGAAGACTGTAGAGGGTTGCAAGTATCTCCAAATCTCGATCTGCCGATGTGACCGTCCGACCATTGCGTTCGGAGCCACTTGAGTCCCAATCCTCATGCATGGTATGTACCATCTGTCCACATGAATTAGCAACCAAGGTCGCAGATATATGGTGGCTGAGCTAGTCACTTCAGATGACAGGTGTTTCTGCCGCATGAGAAAGAGACCCATGACGATGCTGGCAATGCTTGCTATTGATGAGATGAAGCTCGTAATCTGAGCCGGCGTGTACCACCCTGGACCAGGTTCCACGTCTCGAATAGTAAGGAACGAAACATTCACGTTTAATAGCAGTGCCGCCTGTAAATGATCTTGATTAGATATCAGACAAGAAAAACTCAAGGACTACGTACAAGGATGAGATAAAGAACCCAAGCCTTTTGTAGGTTTTCCACGAAAGCGATCCAGGACTCGGTCACATATGTAGGGTCACGAACGATTTTAACCAGATGTTGTAGATACCGCCCGGGTTCGTAGAATAAGAAAATGCATGACACACGCATCAGGACAGATTGTGGTGAATGGGCCATATCAACGGTGTTGCGGTTCCTAGATAGACGGACGGCTCGCGTCCCGTGACGATCTAGCACACGCTTAGTAGCTTGAATCTGGAATTAACGACATATGGTGAAAGATACACGAATGCTTCCGCACCAAACAGAAACATCAGACGGCCTTGACGCGAATTGGTCAACTACTCTTGAAAATCTTAGTTTGGATGATATCTTACCGACGAGGGCAGCAGTGTAAGGATTGGAACCGAGGCCTGCATGCGTGAATCAGTTCCGCTACACTTTTGTCGAGTTTTACAACTACCATTGCTCTCCTTGAGCAGAGATAACATTGTCTGCAGCTGATCTACCGACGCCATGACAGGAGAATCAGGGTACGTCAATCGATCTATTATCAAATGAACTTGGTCAATTTTCATGCGCAATGAAATATCTTGATACAATCACCTGTAGCAGCATGTAGGATAATATCTCTGAGCTTATCAATATGCCCCCTCGACACATCATGAGCGTATGGGAAAATGTCCCAGTGACGCCTAGGAGTATACAGGTTAGGATGTCATTTTTACTCCTAGATCGACACGTCAGTGCCTATGAGAGCCGTACCAAATCCAGCCAACTTACCATGAAATCCAACTGAGAGTACCAATAGAACCGTTCAAGGATATCTCCTATTTTTGACGTCAGCGTCCATCAACCAGGATAACTCGAAAACCGACTTATGCGCGAAGTGGCAGATCCACTTTCATTGAACCAAGCATGCTCTGCCATGTTACATTCCTGTAGCCAAAATAGCGTGTGGTTATCAGGATCAACGAAATAATAGCACCAGCGAAATCTCTCAAGACTGTTGGGATCATTCTGAAGTTCGAGAACCAGCTCCCAATTCCAAGGAAGTTGTATATGATGGCGGCAAATTTGATCTTCGACGAAAGCGAAAAATTCATTAATTTCTGCCAGAAGTTTGAGGTCATAGAGATAAGCAGTAGTATAGATCCGCTACGTGATACAAGTCAATGGGCCCATAAGCAGTGGAAAGGCTCAGGAAGCTCACCTTTGGCAGATTGTAAAAATACAATGCACCTGTCGGATGTATCAAAGATTTCCACCCGTCTGGAAGATCTTCCCTGATAAAAGGTAGGTTTCAGGGTAATCGTATGGCCTAGGTGATGGGACATACCGAGAGAAAGAGGTTTGCATAGGTGGTATAATCAAGTTGGATCGAAGATCCACTCGGCTAACGCGGTATACAGGCAAGAGTGGGAAGAAATGAGCACACGTACGCACTGATCAAATTCTTCCTCATCCCGTTGAACTTCCAAGATCGGATATATCTCTCTTATAGGAAGTACAACTTTGTCGCAAGACAAGGCAATATTCGCTTGACATTCTGGAGTCGGTTGAGAGTGAACTGACTGAGAGCAAGGTTTGGCCAACATATCCATTTCTCGAGGAACAGGAACAATATAATCTGGCACTTCGTCTGCGACATGCAAGCCCATAGGAGACGGCGGGCTTGATGGACGCGATAGCAGCAGTTTGCTCGAGTAGACCACACATTGCGCCTCTTCACCGCCCTCACCGCCCTTCCCCGGCTCTTCGGTCATTCCTTCAACGTGTGTGCTATCACGACCGGATCGACGACCATGCTTCAGCTGCCACGTCTGCGAAATCCGGCTCTTGAGGGAGATCCAGAACCTTGCCAACCGCCGTGTAGACCATGAAACGGGACTCCGTATGAAGAACCGCAGCAACGACCACAGACGTAGGAGTTGTGAAAGCAGGTGAGGCATTGCAGAGTCAGCGTGAATGGTATACAGACAGGGCTCAACCAAGGAACAAACTTATGCAGGGTGGTATACACTTGTATATATAAGGTGTGTATCATGCCTCGTAGCGCGGCGCTACATGGTCTTGTCTGAATGGAAGAGCGTTCGCAAGTGTTGTCAGTTGTGCGATGGCGGCACATATAATCTGACCGGCTACAACAATCGAACGTTGAATGAAGTTGAACTGCTGAATTTAGCAGTGCACCGACACGGTAATGAAGAAGTCAGCGTGTAGAATATGTCTCCGCACAGGGTCGAACAGACCACGCAGCACGACAAGGTGCAACTGGTTACTGCACAGTGCGGTCCTCCGACCCTACCCTAGTTCCAGCGCCTGTTCACCAGATTTGGAAGTAATCAGGATTTTACCGGACTATATAATGGCCGCACTTCTAACCAAGCTACAAACAGATTTGCACTCAAAGTTAAATATACTATCAAGTATTATATAATATACAACAGGATATCAGGGTATCGGGAGAATGCTACAGTAAGGAAAGACTCGGACGATACAGTGACCGATTTATGTAAGAACGAGATAAAATGAATGTGTGCAATGCAGCCAGGCACGCATATTTCCAACGTGTCACTCTACTTCCTTGCATCTGCGCCCAAGCCGGCAGCCATCCCCGTCGCCATCATGCTCCCCATCTGCGCGCCGACGCCTTCTGTGGGGACGAACACCGTCTTGTTCCCGAACGCCTTCACGCGAGACACCTCCACACGGCGGAGCTCCATCTCGCGCGCGAACTCGTCGCGCACTTGCGCGTCCGCCGCGGCGCGAATACGAATCGCCTCAGCCTCCGCCTCCGCCATGAGCCGCGTTGCCTGGGCCTGAGCCTCCGTCTCGATTTGGAGCTTCTGCGCTTGTGCCTTTGCGGCGGCGACAACGCTGTATGCTTCCGCATCGGCTGTGGTCTGTGATGTCCCCTCCCGTGAGCAACCGGTCGCAGAATTCTAATTATTAAAGAAATCTTACATTCCGTACATGTGCTTGGACGCGGGCCACGGCAAGAGCGCCCTCCTCCTGCTTGATCTTGTTACTGTTTTCGCGGTCGACATTCTGTGCAGCAGAGTTAGCGTGATGCATGGATGCCCTGAGATAGGAAACATGACTCACAGCGGCCTCCACTTGGGCCTGTAGCGCCCTCGTGGTCAGCTTGTCCATTGTCGTCGCGATATCGCCCTTGAATTGACGGTCGATCACAGCTGCGGAAATCTGATCAGAACACGTTGAGTGGTCGACAGTGGGGAAACGTACCAAGATCTTTCAGCACGATGCCGTACTCGAGAGCAGCAACGATAAGATCGTCCATCGCGCGTGTCCTCAATGCGTCGAGGAATGCTGAGTTTGGGTCCGTGCCATCTTCGAGGTTGTCTGGCCCGATCGAGCGCTGCTTCACCATAGCACTGTAGTCCACTAAGGTGACGAAGAGGTTAGCATGCATGATATAAGGCTCGACTACTTTGGGCACTGACGATGCGCAACAATCTGTGTTAAGATGGACTGTGTCTTGTCCCTGTGTCACGGTCTGTTAAATCTCTATGTCATTCTTGGTAAGAATACGATCCTGACCTCAGAGCGTCGTAGGGTGTATGGTACCCGTGTGTCGTCAGCTGTACCAGCGGAGTCCGGTCAATTGCAACTTCGCTAACTTAGATAACACTCTATAATTACCTTTAGTGGTTCTGTAAGTTGCCTATGAAGACATTAGCGGTACGAAGCACGTTGGATGGCTGTTCGACTCACCATTTCAAGTAGATCGTCAGACTGACGGGAACTTGATCCCGCGTAAAGCTGCGGACACCCCATGTCAGCGTCGCGAATGATGCTATGAGAAAGCAAGCACTTACATGTCCTTCGTAGGCATCTCAAGCTGGTTCTCACCAAGCGTATACATCCCACGAAGAGTGACGTTGGGATTAGTGATGTAGTGCTGACCAGCGGGGAGGAGTTCGAGGTCGTCGCCTCGCTGCAGGACCGCACAGTTATTCGCTGGGATATTCAGGCTGTAATGCGTGACCTATGAGTAATCTCGCATATCGAAGAATGATACAGAATACAGACAAGAGTGCGACGACGTAGTCTCTCTCTTTTCCATCTCGGACACTACTGGTCATCGTAACCTCGTGGCACCTGACGGCGGGTGTTAGAATACGAAAGACAAAAAATCCAGACAACACTCACCATCCGAGAGTGACACCGGTAATCTTATCTTTGATGGGCGTCGGCAGGTGCGTTTGATCCACAACAGACAGGACGTTATATGCGCCTTCGATAGCAAAAGCCACGAAACCTGAGTTCTTTATCACAAATATTTGGTTCTGGGATGAACGCAAGAATCATGTCAGTCGGACCCTAGTCCATGACATGTTACATCATTACCTGAGGGTCGGATACAACAGCGGCCTGGAAGAAACCTATCAGTTGAATGGCATCCGATTTATGCGACACAAAACGAACCTGATTCTGAGATACCTGAACGACGGTAAGACCCTGAAACTCAATGACCGTGTCCGACACTAACGGTTGATGTGAATCATCCGAAAGTTTCTGAGCGATTTTGAAACTTACGGCCTTTCGTCCCACACCACTTGCGAGCCCACCAATTTCGCAGGGGCGCGCCTGGGTATCTTCCTGGACGGGTCAGAACTTTGGGCAGGCCACCATGATTGATCAAGCCAATCCTGCCGGGGGTGATTTCCTTGCCGATCCAGTCCGTGGGAAACTGAACAAAACAGATATATATGTTGTCCTCGCACATGAACTTAGAAGACGCACCTTGCGAGACAGGATCTGCGTGCGCCCTGACTGTGACGGTCAGAGTCGGTCAATTACTGTGGCGCAAAGAAGTACCCGAGTAGACTCACGTTCTTGAGCTGTGTATCGAGCTTCTGCAAAGCCGCAATCAAGCCGTCCTTGCCAATGCTGATGAAGAACGGTCGATCGACGACTGTGTAATCGGCGGTCCTCCCAAAGCTGCTCCCATTGAGAGTTGTCAACCCGTGACTTCCAGTAGCACTTCCTCCCTTGGGATATCGCTTCTCGTTATCGTTGAAGTCGCCTTCGTAGTGCGGATGGAGGAATTCCCGCGGGGCAGAGCTGCTAGGGCCATTGATAGCAGTGATACTATCGCCGGAGCTGCTGACGCTGTCTTTGATCATCGGTGTGAGTATAAGGGGGAAAAAAGTAGTGGGAGGTCCTAGGCGGGGGGTCAGTGTTTTATATCCAGAGTGACAGTCGAAGCGAGGGCCATGGCGAGAACCGCCGAATGCAAGGTCAGCGGTTTCCATGCGCAGTGCGGCATGGTCCCGCGTCGATGGGTCTCGGGCAGTGTAGAATAGTGATACTGATAGCCCAAGCAAGGGCACAAGCTGCGCGTGGATGAGTTTGTAGCTGTGCGGACCTGTCGGAGGCTCGGACTTGGAGCGCTCCACGCGACCGACAGCCTGAGCGCGAGCCGCCGCCGCCCTGTCCATTTCCGGTGCTGTTGTCCAAGAACAGCAGTCACATCAATTGCGGATGCAGGACGCAGGATTCTGCATTACTTCGGTAATATCAAGTATGCTGAGAACGCTTAACAGAGCAGCCTAGTGGCCACCACGACATAGCCTAGTAATCCTCAGGCCTCATGAACAAAGTTGGAACGCCACGGCCGGCCATCATGAGCACTTTTCGCCGCACCTTCAATGATAGCACTGCGCGCCCTGCCGATGTGTTCCGTCTTGCTGTAATCTCGGTCATGACGCTGTCCAAATTCAAACCTTGGCTTGCTGCGGCTGAGGACACATGGATGGATCTCTGAATTGTTGTACTGTCTACCACAGGCTCTCAGTGAGAGCTTTCACAGGACAATGAATCTGATCCGCATCTGCACGGAGCCGAAGACAATCCCTCGGGCTATTTGGGCGCAGAACTTATTTGTCGAATAGGAGTGGCACTGTCAAGACACAACCCAAATACAACTAGGTATGTAGCACCGCCCTTGTAAGGGCATGAATGAACGTTGCGGTGGCGCACGCACTTGAATCCGCTGATCGGGGAATAGGATCGGGTAGTGTACCAGTCGAGCGACTTGTGCATCGCAAATGCCCCAGGTTGAGACTTATGCATTCTACGTCAGAGTCACAGCAAAGGCAGAGATATGTTGTATGAGTCTCGGTGAATAGGATTTTTTGAATCGAATTTCGCGCACGAGGCTGAGAATACGCGACGTGACCGACGCGTCTAGGTGTCGCCTGAGTCGCGGCATGACCCAAGTTCCGACCGACTCGCGTCCGCTACTGGAGTCGACTCGAACGCTGTGATGAGGGTCCCTCAACTTATATGTTCCACGTTGCAGTGAGAGTCTCTCAACAGAAACCGAATACATTGAATTGTTGGTGTATGAGTTAGGATGGCCAAGTACGTATCTTTCGTCTACTCTCCAGATCCCTCTGACCTGTACAGGACACAACTGCGTTACTTGAGGCCTCTGGGTCGGAGGAAATATCACGACAAGTCCTATGGATACCGTGAAGCTCGCAAGCTCACGCTTCCAGATTGTGAGTGTATTGGATACACGTTCCATGACAGCTCCACGTGCGTAATATGCGTATGCATGCGACCTGGGTGCAGTGGGCATAGGCCAGGGCACGGTGTAAAGCATCATGCATTATGACTGGATGGGAGATACTAACATTCGGGCAGCTGTAGTCTATTGCAGTATTGTTTCTGACGCCGTACTCCAGACAGCGTGGCACAGCTGCAGAACCGAACAGCGAACGCGCCTCTTCTCCGCTACGTCGACTCTCTCCGCACCCATGGGCACCGCGCAGCCCGCATTGATCCCCTCGACCTCCTTCAGCGGGAAGAAATTGCAGCCCTGAACCCTCACCGGTATGGCCTTCTTGACGACGCGCAGAAGTATGACATCAACGGGATTATCTGGACGAGTCCGGTCGATGCCGAAATTGACCCTGCAGAGAGCCACTGGACTCTCGGAGAGATCACTCAACACCTACGCGCGATATATGTCGGGCGCATCGCGTACGAGTACATGCACTCCCCGTCGAAAACAGAGCGGCTATGGTTCTCCCATTTGCTTGAGTCTCAGGCCCGTGGGGGCGGTGTGATGGAGAGAAGCCGGAAGACACGCATACACAAACTGTTGGCGCATAGTGAGACGTTCGACCAGTTCCTTCAGCTGAAGTTCCCCAACCTTAAGCGGTATGGTCTGGAAGGAGGCGAGTCCATGCTCCCTGCACTCGATGCATTGTTTGCGAGTGCAGCCAGAGGTGACTCTATGTATATTTGCTGTGGTGGAGAGGTTGACAATGCAGCACAGCTGGTGTGGAGAATATTATCCTCGGTATGCCACATCGTGGCCGGCTAAATTTGCTCACTGGACTTCTGGACTTCCCTGCCTCTGTGCTCTTCCACAAAATCAGAGGTGGATTTGAGATACCCGAGGAGCTTGGTGCTTCCGGGGATGTCATCAGTCACCTCGGTTTGTGAACATTACGTTGCCATTGTGGACCATACTCATAGAGTCGTAGTTGCTTCACCAAAGCTTCAGTACGATGGGGCGCAGAATCCGCTGAAGGTTTCCCTTCTACCCAACCCTTCTCATTTAGGTATTTGTATAATGTTATTTGCAATCTCGATCACTCACAGTAACATGCAGAGGCGGTGAACCCGGTTGCACTCGGAAAGACGCGTGCGAAGCAATTTGCATTGCTCAAGAATCTCCTTCGTGATGGCGTTTCTCCGGATGCTTGTTTTCCTGGAGACAAAGTTCTATGTGTTCAACTGCACGGCGATGGGAGCTTCACTGGTCAAGGAATTGTCATGGAGGGTCTCGGCTTGAGTAAGCTGAGCCTTGCTGAAGAGTTCTAGCCTGTCTGACAAGAGTAACTAGGTAATCTTCCGCATTACACGGTCGGGGGTACAGTGCATATAGTGGTCAAGTAAGTTGGTTTATACGTGTTTCGCAAAGTATTGACCCACTCGCGCGAATTTAGCAACAGGTAAATACTCCTCGCGTCATATTGAGTGAATGGCATCGATCACAGTGATGACGTATTGGCTCCAATAAAGCATTGGATACACGACACCTGCGTCGAGTGCTCATTCTGGATTGTACTCGTCCGATATTGGCAAGATGATCAATGCTCCGGTCCTGCATGTGAATGGCGACTACCCTGAAGGTAATCGCATGTTCGCTTTCTCTCCTTGACAATGCTAACTCGGCTACATAGATGTTGCGAGAGCTGTGGAAACGGCGTTCAAGTATCGTAACCACTTCCGGAAGGTGAGCATATTTCCATGCCATGTTAAACTGTTTGGTCAATGACTATGCAGGATATCATTGTGGATTTATTAGTCTATAGGCGTTGGTAGGCGACACTCAACTTCACAGCGTATCAGAGAAACTGATCTTGTATAGGGGTCACAACGAACTGGACGAGCCCTCTTTCACGCAGCCGCTTATGTATGAGCAGATTCGGTCGCGTCGGTCTGTACCTTCTCTATATGAAGATCATCTGATTGTGAGTCGACGATGTGTTTTCGTGTAACTACTTTAGTTGATCCAATTGTTATTAGTCGCAGGAAGTCATTACAGAGGAAGAAGCTGCGGCAGTCCGTTCCTCGTATAAATTGACTTTGAACAGCGAGCTTGCAGCTGCCAATTCCTACATACCCACAATTGACAACACCCCCATGCTCTGTGATCAATGGCATGGGCTAGTCTGGCCCGCAAGCACCGAGGCGCAACATAACCCTACCACTGGGGTTGCGGGCGATACACTCTTACGCGTCGGACGTGCTAGCGTCGCAGTTCCGACTGGCTTCGTACGTGCTTGAAAAACTGATTCTTGAGAGTGACGTAGCTCATGAAAGCGAGTAGCAAGTTCATCCGCGTTTGCAACGACACATTAACCATAGACTCCGTGTCCTTGATAAGGGAGAGGGAATTGATTGGGCTACCGCAGAAGTAAGCATTTATTCACATCAGGATGCTTGGGTCTTGACTATATAAATAACAGGCAATGGCGTTCGGAACGCTCATGTTAGAGGGCTGTGACGTTCGGATATCGGGACAGGACGTTGGGCGGGGAACTTTCAGCCAGCGGTATGCCTTCCTTCCTCGACGATTCTTGTATATGATACAGAGACCTATTCAGTCACGCTATGCTCGTGGACCAAGCGTCCGAAGATGTTATCGTTCCCTTAAACTCTGTTCTCGATTCGTCGGGCAAACTTGAACTTGCCAATAGTTAGTAGCCGTGTTTGACATGGTATCTAAAGCGCCTTCTGAGGTCGTATCTACAGGTTCCCTGAGCGAATTAGCGGTTCTCGGCGTGAGTATTATGTTTGCTTCACACGGGGGATCCACTTACATATTTGGTGCCCAGTTTGAGTATGGCGTGAGCTGGGAGAAACCCGATATTTTGCCAATTTGGGAAGCTCAAGTAAGTTTCTTCGCTTTATACGAATATTTTGGAGCTGAGCTTTATGGCATAGTTTGGAGACTTCTTCAACGGCGCGCAGGTGATGCGACAGGTTTACTATGATGTAATCCGGCTCCTTCTGATGCATCTAGTTCGCAATAGACCATCATTGATACCTTCATATCTTCCGCGGAGAGTGCGTGAGCATTTTCGTCTTCTTCGAATCTTTCACTAATTGTACACTGCTATAGCGAAATGGCTGAAACAGAGCGGGATTGTACTTCTTCTGCCGCACGGGTGCGTCAATCTCCTGCTTCTTTGATTTATCCTGCTCCTGGTGGTAGACATGAGTATCAACTTACCGAGAGATCTATGTGTAAACGATCTACAGGTTAGATGGTGCTGGTCCTGAACACTCGTCTTCAAGATTTGAACGCATGCTTCAGGTGCGCACTTTACTCAGATTGCGAGAGTATATGTTTTTTTAAGATATACTCAGCTTACGAACGACCCGTTCAACTTTGACGAGGAAGCAGTCTCATCAAACGTCAACATGCACGTAGTTTTTCCAACGACACCTGCACAATATTTCCATCTGTTGCGCCGGCAGATTCTGAGAAACTTCCGCAAGCCTCTTATCGTCGCGTCGCCGAAAGGCTTGCTGAGACTTCCTGTGCGTGCATTTATATGTTTAAAAGAACGGCCAATTGACGACTATTGTCTTAGGCTGCGTCCTCTTCCCTTGCCGATATGGATCCCAATACCTCGTTCCAACCCGTGCTAGACGACACCACCGTCAATGCTGCCAGTATTCGTAGAGTCGTTCTCATGACCGGAAAGCTCTACTACGATCTTTTTAAGGAACGCCAAGCGCGACAACTAGACTCGGTCGCATTCATACGTGTCGAAGAACTCTGCCCGTTCCCGTTTGCCACATTGCTGCAAGTGCTGCGACGCTACACTAACGTTGAAGATATCGTGTGGCTGCAAGAAGAGCCGCAGAACCAAGGAGCCTGGGTGCATGTCGAGAACAGGATTAATTCTGTCCTCAGACACATACCATACGGACGACCAGTTACGTACCGCGGGAGGAAGCAAGACTCGGTCCCTGCGCCCGGGATCGCACGGATTTATGGTACCCAACAGAAGGCAGTCATCGCAGCGGCGTTCGACAGTCTGTAGCCCAATATCCGATGACCGTATTATCTTTTTGTATAATGAACCTTGGATCTGTTCCATTCGGTGCTTTGCAAGGGACAATGACATGTACAAAATTCGGTACTGTATGATATCTAGAGACGAGCATATTCTTCATGCCCACATGGCATGGAATTTGGTATCAAATTCGTTGGTGACGCTGTCAATTACTTCGTAGACCTTCCAGTCTTGATCTGATACGCCAGCGGGCCGTTCAAGGTGCTGCCCTCCGCCAAACTCATCGTCCTCCATGTCTGTTGAAGCGTAGGTTCCGTAACCACTGTCAGCATCATCCAGTTCGTCAACTTTGGCCTCCTCAAAACCTTCATCGTCTGCATCTTTTCCACTCGTCGTCTTGAGCAAGAGCTGTCCCAGCCCCGCTCGGACGGTCTTCAACGTCAACGTGAAATCCTCCAGTAAATACCAGACATCGTTATCCCGAATTCCATTCGCCCTCTTCAGCGCTGCGGTCTGTCCGTGGATGTAGAAGTCAAGTAGGTACGCATTGAGCGTATGATCTGCATCGTCTCCCCCAGTCGCCAAGTCATGGACGGATGGAATAGCGTATTGATTCAGGTATAATCCTTGTCGAGAGGTCTGAGCCAATTCGTGGACGGTCTTGAACTCATCGGTGAGACCAGAGGTCGCCACTAGCGGTGAGCGCACAGTCACTTGAATAGCGGTATCCCGCAGATGTTCGAGGAATGGTGTAACCTCTACGTTTTTCGGGTCATCAGTCGGTAAAGCAGTCTCTGGCTCAAGGTTGTCTTTGGCATAGGCCAAGGCGTAGCTAGTGAAGACGCCCAAGATCTCTCTTCCATGTTGCAAGAGAACCTCTTTGGCATCCTTAGGCAGAGGAGGTAGCTTGACCATCGACGGAGATTTCTTGATCAATGCTTGCAAGTTCTCGTCGGTCGTATACGACTTCGGTAGGTATCGTCGCCCGAATAGATGGCTCATTAAAAGAACAAACTCTCGACGCGCCATGAATGAATCGGATTGACAGCATATCCTGTGAATTATTCCGCGGCGGAAGAGAGCAACGAGTGCGAGATTGCCAGGTTCAGTGTAGTACAGGTGAGCGGCAATTCCGAACAAATTGATCGGGTTACCCTCAGCGTCCAAGAGGCCTGCGCGGCGAAGGTAATCGATACTAAATCGCACGAAATGCGAGACTTGCTGTCTCCCTATCTCGGACGTGAAACTGACCCGAGGCAACTGCAAGAGACTGTCAATGGCGCGGACGGCGACTTCCGCATTATTTGAGCCTTGTAACAGGTTGAACAGCCTTAAAACCATGGTCGAGGTCATAGGGAAGTTTCCGCCCAGCGATGGAAGTCGTGACAGGACCAGCCTTTGACATCGATCCATGGCAATACCGTAGAAGACGACTTTGCCCAGAAGGTCGAACCCTCGCCGTCCGGCTAGAACGGATTCATGAACAATTCCTCACGATGGAATAGATACAGTACATACCACGCCCTGCACATTGCCGATACTACAAAAGATCTGCGCGTGAGCATTACGAGAATCTGACGAAATTCACAATGTTTACCATCAATGCCGTCAAAAACGGCGAATCTGCGCAGAAAACGGACGTTTTGGTTGGTGCATTGATACCAAGTGCCAATGTGCCTATGAACAATTAAGACTTCATGAAACGCAGCCACCCGTGAAGCCTGCGTACCTGTGGCAATAATGACTTTCAAAAATCCTAATCGATAGAGACTAACGAGTTCAGCATCAGCACAAGAACTTTATCAGTTCGGAAGTCAATACCTTTCAACCAAAGACCTGTACCGCTTGTTCATACCCGCATGGTGGACGCCAATACCCCTGCGCAGCCCTTTGAAAGCCCATTCTGGAATTTTAGACCAGCGTGCAAGCGAGCGTATCTCATCATTCAGATCCTGCATAGTATACGCAGTTGACACTCCCGTGAACGAAAACTGGGGCGAAGGGTCCTCTGGATCAAATTGGCTTTCCCATGATTCGTGAACCTCAGCCTGTGGTTCTTCCGAATCTTTCTTCTGCTTCATCAGCTTACTCGCCTGACGCTCACGAGCTTTGGCCTGTGAACGCCAGCGCTCCCATTGCTTCATCTTCTGTGCCCATTCGGGGCTGTTGTCCCGCCATGTAGATTCAGTATCTTCTAGCTGATTTAATAGGTATTTTGCCATATTTTCACAGGCCTTGCGATCAAAGTTGAAGAACAGTGCGGGCTGTGAGGGTAAACGGATTTAAGAATAGTGGCCCTTCATTTCATGATCCTAGGATGCTCACCAGGTCATTTTTCGAATGCAAGTCCGCTAGGAGGAAGATCAGATTCTTATAGAAATCGGGTGCAGGAGGGATTGAGTGATGATCCATATTCTTCAGGGTAGGATCTGTCAAATGGGATATAACACCGTCAAGGAGAGGCCTAGATGTATCTGAGTCAGAGGTAACGAGATTGGACAGGTGAACTTTCAGCGCCGATTCATATTTGAGAATATCTTTCTGCCTCAACAGTTTGACTGGAGAGTCAGTAAAGAAACGCGATGGTTCCAATTCTTGCACGTCGAAATCGAGTTTCTCGCGCAAAGTCCAAAATGCACGGAAAAGCGTTAGACAGTCTGAGGCTTCCAATGAAAAATCAGGAGGAAGGTCTCGTACACCAAATGACAGTAGAGAGACCGGGTGCAAGAATCTGAGTCGTTCGGTATTGGAATAATCAGAGATTCCACGGAATCTCCCAGGCTGCAAGCCTTGAAGCGAGTACATATACTTGCGCAGATGGGAGTATCTATGCGGATGATAGATGAAGGTGTGCTTGAATCCGTGCGCCTCTTGTACGGAACCCAGCCACTGGTTGAATTGCTCCGGTTGCCCGATTGTCGCTGAGAGACCACTGCAGTACGTATCAGCATCACACAACAATGAAGCAATTCAGACGACACCAACATAACAGGGCAAGGTGCGAGCAATAATATTTGCTCCCAAACGGCGCCACCTTCTTGTTGACCGATAGTATGGATTTCGTCCAGAATAATTCTAGCACAATATCAGACAAGAGTTCATACGCGCATTAGCTCGCATACCGTTTGATCCTGGGCGTCCAGTTCTGGGCCAGCGGGGGCGATAAAAGCATGATAGCAAGCATTTCGGGGACAGTGACTAAGATTTGGCAATTTTGCGGGTTGTGTACCCGGTAATCCCTGGTGTGAATCGCCCAACAGCTTCCTGAAGGGCAAGATCAGTGAAAAATGAAGGGGAAGGGTGCGTTCACTGACGTCCGTTCAAGTCCTTCCTGAAGCGAGCATATACCTCAGCTGCAATCTGATTGACGAGTGCTTTCGTGGGGGCTACGTAGACGAGGATTCCATCATCTGTGTTTTTCAAAACCTGCTCCATAGCATAGTAAGAGATGAAAGTCTTCCCGGCACTCGTAGGCGCTGTATGGGGAGTCATTTTAGAACAAACGGAGTACTTACACCGGTTTCATACTCACCGACGACGAGTACTGAATGATTCGCATCCAGACAATCAAGGACATCCCGTTGCCATGCATCCGGCTTGAACTGTACTCGCGGGTCATCCTGACTATCCATGCTTCTGTCCATGTATTCACCAAACAAACGCAACTGCCACACGATTGGATCTTCATCGATATCCATAAACTTGTGTACCGCAGACCTGCTCTTTGATTTTGCAAGCTTGATGAACTTGAAGTTCAACTCGCGGTCGGCAGTCAAGGCCGGCGCCGAGGCTTTTAGCTCTGGTACCACATCTGACAATCCAACGACAGAGAGAGCCGTCTCAAAGATACCAGCTGCAGCAGGGAATAAGTCCTTGCGATGGAAGGTATCTTTGACTAGGCGCAGAATGCGCACGACAATCTGGTCCCGGACAGCGGGCACCTCACGGTCAGAGCGCTCGATCCAACGGACAAATTCCAGGTGCAGCGAGTACAATTGAACCTCAACACTCAGCCAGCCCTCCCGCGTGCGCTTGTTGCGCTGGAGGTTCTCCACCGCCTTTAGCTGATTCTCGGTGGACTCTTGCGCCAATATTTTCAGCTGCTCTTGCCACCAAGTCAAATTAGAATCGTCCTCCTTCAACTGCTTCTTCGCGGCATTTGCTTGTCTGATCTTATCTGCTGACGAGACATATTCTTGCTTGCCCTTCTTACCCTGTTTCACTGGCTTCGCCTGAAATAACATGAGTGCGCTGTATAAGTACATTCTTTATTTGCCAGACAACTCACTTGTATCGCTCGGACGGCTGGCCGTGAGACCAAATTGTTGGTGCGCTGAGCAGCCCGAGAGCCAACAGGTAATATCACTAATCTTTCTAATGGAATCCCGAAAGCACCGGTCAATGTTTTCGCCTGCCACTCCATGCTTGCCATGAAACGCTGGTCACTTCGCAATTTTCGGAAACGTTGTTTCGCATCCATTGGGTGAAATTCTTCGCCTCCTAAGTGCGGAGGCAGAATGCTGCGCCGACTATTATGCCAGTGATACACATCATTGAACACTGTGTTAAACTGGAGTCGCAATTGTCTGACGTCCGCGTCCGTGTTCTCCACTCCGACATGCACAGACGCAAGATGTTTGTCAAAGACAGGATGCGAGAACGGAAGAAGGCCCAGATGAGGCCGGCGTGACACGACCCTCTGCTGAGAGACACCTTCGATTGACCGGAGGCGCTTGGCCAAGATCTTGATGTCAACAGGAGGAAGGTTCTGAGCCGACCAGATAGCATCCAGTTGCTGTCCAATACTCTGTCCCAATAGTTCCGTCAACGATACATCTGGGTGTGCAGCTGAGAATTGGAGGAGTGCCACGAACACTCGTCCATCGATATCAACCCTCCTTTGAGTGCACAAGCCTTCGAGAGAGATGAATGCACTCGGAAGGAATGATTCGAGTAGGATTCGGCTGAGATCACCGTCTAAACCATCAATCTGTCTGGCACGGACTCGGATAGACAGGGTCGGAACAACTAAAAGATGAGCCAGAAAGAGGTAAAGTAGCTCCTGCCTAAAGGCGTGACCAAGAAAATGAGACGAAAGCATTTTTTGTACAAAGGATTTGGTCGGAGACCAGTCCTCATCGGCTGATGGCGAGATTCGCGGCGCAAAGGTCTTCAGGGAGACCATCGAAACGCCATGCCTTACATGGGATTCCTGGTCTTCCAGTGACCTCATTGCCACACGATATGCGCCCCACAAACCGTCCGGTAGATGCTCACGGGCGTGATGGTCGCGTCGTTGTTCATAAATGAAGGTCATGATCTATTGACTATCTGATGAGGGAAGCCTATTCAGAATATAGCGAGAAGTACAGACCTTGGAGTCGCGATACTCAGCTCCATGCAACATGGCCACTGACAGTCCCAGAGACAAAAGGTCAAACAAAAAAATTCGTTGACTAAAGATTCGCTCTGCAGTGAACAGAGCATCATTTGGTCCTAAATTGCCGCCATCATTCGTCATGACAAACATAGGCTAAGAAACTTTGTCAGGGTTTGCGGGTTGAATAATATACCATCCCTACTTACCTTTGTGGACCCTTGATATCTGATCCACTCAGGATCGGAAACACTTTCGAAGACATGGATAGGTATATTGAAACGATGAAGATGCTGGAAAAGCATGGTACGAGCCAGAATTCGCGACGATGTGACGAACTCAGAGCTTCCCGAGAGCAACGTGACATGGCGGGTATCTGAAAGAATACACAGTGAGGAAGATAAAATGTGAGGCTAGCCAAATTTTATTACCCTGCCAAAACACGATCTCGAAACACGCAGAACGTGACTGGAATTCGTTTAAAATTTTCTCAAGTGTGTGTATGGCGTGAAGGATCTGGAAACTCGGATCTGGGATAAGGTACATGAATACAGTAACCATAGATGCCAGTCGATTGGGACTCGTACCGCCTTCACGACCTAACGCCAGCAGTGGGTCATTCAATACTTGCTGCAGGAGCGCCTCACCTGAGACCGGTTGTGGTAAATGCCTGGTGTCCACATACACAGAGGTGCGTCGCTCACCATCGAGGATGAAGAGTTCCGTTCCAGCATAGTCTCCAATGAGATCCATCCATCTTGCTCTCCTGTTCGCCGGAAGGTACCATTTTTTGTCGATATAGCGCAGTGCGGGCTTGATTGAAGAAGGCTCTGGGATGTCGGCTGTGACATCCTCCGGCACGTAGTCAAAATCGTCTAAATCCATCGTGAAGGCGAATCTGGGAGGGATAGAGAAAGAAAGTCGAGCAATCGGAGTTAACTAATGACACAGACCACATCGACTGACAAAAGGGTCCAAACCTTATAACCGTACACGTTTATAACGCGTTGCGTGCAGCGTAAAGTGCCCTGTTGCTCGTCCACCCCTGTGAGTGCGCGCGATGTCAATCCGTGTTCTAGACAAATACGAGAGTATTGGAAAGACACATGTATGGCTTAACCAAGGATCAACAGACGTGCTGGAGCTATAAAAGAGGTTGCGGCAAGAGTCGAAGGTCAAATTTTGACCGCAACGTGCTCAAGAAGCGTAGACATTCAGATGAGGTCGGCTGCAGCGCAAGGAGGCGCCCGACGGCATCGAGCGAGTCAACGGTACTAGCTACTTACTGATTTCGCAGCGCATCGCAGATTTATCTTCAAAATTACCCAGAGAAAGAGCCACACACAAAGAGAGTATAAGGACGACCGCCCTCCCTGCCAGAAGAATGGTGTATAACAGTTATCCGAGTCACTAGTGATACGCCGCGAGTGCTCAAATATTCCAAGAACCGCTAAAAATTCCGGCTAACCCTTGGCGATACGTGCGGGACAAAGCTGCTCTCGTCTTATTCGTGCTGCGTGCTGCGTAGAAGAGAGGTGCTGGTACTCGTCCAGAGTTCAGATGACCGGCTGAGGAGCAGGCCGGCCCGCCGACCCGCGGGTAAGACTTTGTCTGAGTCGGTCTTAGTGCATGTTCAAAGTCGTACGTGTGGCTTGTGGTACTTGCGGTGACTTACTTCAGATTCTATCCCTTGGGGACTTGTCTGGTGTTTGTCGACAGCCGGTTCACAGTGAGCGACTCGATACGCGTGCGTACTCTTGCCGAAGCTTAGAACTGACCAAGTGACAGCATTATCGCAGACGATGGCGTACAGACATCCGACGGCCTTCCTTGTCGTGGAATCGATGATATGAGAGTCACTCGGACGCCGGACCGCCCGAGACATATAAAGGCGATCCCGATGCAGAGACTGTAGCTCTTTGCTCTTCCGACTGTTGACATTTTAAATGATGGCATGCCCCACAGTGAAGCTCAGCAACGGCGTAGAGATCCCAATCATTGGGCTCGGTGCGTACTGCACCCTTAGCGTGTACTTCTAATTCATATCGAGCGTGTCTGTTCATAGGAACGTGGCAGTCCAAGCCAAACGAAGTCACAGCTGCTGTCGAGGTTGCGCTGAGGGAGGGCGGTTACAGGCATCTTGATTGCGCTGCGTGCGTTGGTATTTCGTGATCGCAGTATTTTAAAATGCCTATCACTCCACTGTGCAGGGCCTACGGGAACGAGACGGAGGTCGGAGAAGGAATCCGCAGGTCTGGCGTGCCCCGATCTGAGATCTTCGTGAGTGCACTTGATGAGCCCTTCAAATGCACTTTCCTCAGAATTCGCAGATCACTAGTAAACTGTGGTGCACGAAGCACAGCCGGGTTGAAGAGGGACTTGATGAAACTCTCGCGAAACTTGGTACCGACTATTTGGATTGTGAGTGCACTAGTCCCAAGCTGTGCAATTGTTCTGATTCGCTCGTATATCAGTGTATTTAATTCACTGGCCGTTCCACTTGAATCCCAACGGCAACCATCCTGTCTTCCCTACTCGTCCTGATGGTACCCGCGAAATTTTACCAGACTGGCAACTCAAAGATACTTGGGTTCAAATGGAGGCTGTGTACAAGAAGGGTTCGAAGTCGATTTCTTAAATTCCTCCACACCCAATCCAAGTTGACATGTATCATATCAGGCAAAGTCAGGGCCATTGGGATATCCAACGTCTCAGAAAAGTGGCTTGAGGAGAAGATCCTTCCTTATGCCGAGGTTGTCCCTCATGTGAATCAGGTATATTAACCCTGTTTTTTTTTCTTGTATTACTGGTATCTCTGCTAAACTTATATTAATCGCAGCTCGAGATTCACTTGTATAACCCCCAGCACAAGTTGGTCGAATATCTCACTTCCAAGGGCATTGTAACTCAGGCCTATTCTCCCATTGGCTCCACCAACTCCCCTATTCTGACTGACGAGACAGCTTCCGCCATTGCCCGAAAGTATGACCTGCAAATAACTGACGTGTTGCTCGGATACTTGAGTACGCTCATTACTACTAGGTCTTTTGTGTTGCTGATCAGCACCGGATACCTTATTTAGTGGCTAAGAACATTGTCATTCTCCCGAAGTCCGTCACGCCCGCACGTATCATTAGTAACTACAAGGGTGCGCTAGCTGCTGGGTCGAAATTGACCAAAGAGGATATCGAGCAGCTCGACGGCGTGGCAGCGTCCGGAAAGCAGAAGCGGTCAGTTGATCGGTGATCTTGAACCTTATCATCTCTGATGTCCTTGCTTGTTTCATCATTCACGCAGATTGATCATGCCCCCGTGGGGTAAGTGCTCGTTGTGCTTGAACGTCCTTTACCTCTGATGGTTCACTTGAATAGGTGTCGATCTTGGCTTTGACAATTGGCCAGTAGCGAAGACAAACTAAGGAAGAACAGAAGTAATACATTTGTTTATGGTGTATGATATACTCGAAAATATCTTTAGTTTGAATACATTCACCATCATGATGGCAGATGGCAGTCCGTCCAACAGCAAATTAATAGACGTATGGAACCAACCTGTACGGAACCCTCTTCACCCATTCGTCCCATTGAGCTCCAAATTTCTTTCTTAGAAGCTCGTCCTCCTGTGGGCCGCGTGCGAGGATGTTATACGCTATGTACGCATAGATTAATCCGCATAGCCACACTCCAGCACGCCCAGCAGGCGCCTTCAAAACATTGCACTCTTTCAGTCATGAACCATGACCAACGCAGGCCAAGACCATCCCCGCCCAGCATATAAGGCCGCTCGTATAGCTCGGATGTCGAACATATGAATATGGGCCACTCGTGACGAGCTGGTGGTCGTCCTTGATCGCAATCTCGTACGTGAAGTGACGGCCTAGAGCGCGGTAACATCGAATGCGAATGAATGCACCTATGTTCACTAGGCCGCACCCGACGAGAAACGCCCGGGAGAGCGCGATCCGGCCTACAAGACTCCTGGGGCCATTGACGAGTAAACTCAGGATGACCTCCGACAGCTGTAACGAAGGCCATTGAGCCGCAAGTATCACCACCACCTCGAGAATGCTGCCTGTGCACAGGAGGGACTGCGACGACGATTTGAATGCCAGACGTCACTAGTAGTGCTCCAATAGAATGTCATACCTTCAGAACCAGGGTGCAAGCTCTGCACACGGTGGAGAAGACCCGCTCGGATATGGTAGTCTTCGCTCGTTCATTTGCAGGAACTTGGGGAGTAGGCGGTGTGAGTGTGGCATAGACACTCCTTACATTCAAAAGGAGGAAGGGAAGTTTGACGAGAGACATGGTAGTGTGTTTCTGAACGAGTGGTTAGACATTTTATATACGCACATGTGTGAACGTTTGTGTCCAGGTGACGGCCGTGAACAGGTATGAAATTCCCAGAGTAACATTCCATTCCTCATTCTCCTAGTTTGATATGGTATCTCAGATCTCAACAGAGTCGGATGCAATTATTCGGCCCATACCGCCACTTGCATGTGGTCTTAACACTTAACCCAACCGAGTAAGAACATTCTCATACATCTTGCCGTAGGTACAGCCTGGCCGGAAACTGCAGGAGGCCTACCGTGCACCACCTGTAGCACTAGATTATGGAATGTATTTCCAGGCTATCGATCGGGCCCGCTACAGCCCGACATGAATAGTATAGCACCCACGGATTATGTCGCAGGCATACATATATGGAGGTTCCAGTCGCTACTATGGAGGTAATCAATGAACACAACTAGATTGAACTCGTCTCGTGAGATGGACCCTACACCGACACCGCACAGTCTAACGTTACAGTAGGATACGTCTCCGGTCAGTCATGGGCACGCTAGTCCTCCATCAATTCGGACAAACTCGACACCTACATAACTTTTACGGCCAGCTCGTACCAGAAAACAGCTCCTGGGCCAGTTCAATAGATGTAGGGAATGAGTCTATACGGTACCCTCTGCGCCCACTCGTCCCACTGTGACTCAAATTGGTCTCTCAGCAAGACGTCTTCCCGCGGAGCACGTGTGACAAAGAGCACCGTGCAGTACGCGAAGAATGCCCCATACAACGCCACCCCCGCACGTCCAGCCGGCGTTGCCAGAACTCCACACTCCTTCAGCCATGAGCCCTGACTGATAGAAGCGACTCCCATCCCCACCCAGCACATCAGGCCTGTTGTGTAGCTTGGGTGGCGGATATACGCGTACGGACCACTCGTGACGAGCTTGTGGTCATCCCGAATCGCAACCTCATACGTGAAGAGACGCCCAAGAGCGCGGTAGCAAAGGACTCGGATGAGTGCGTTTGCGGTCACCAACGCGGTGCCAATGAAGAATGCTTTGGAGAGGGTGATTCGGCTTGCAAGGGTAGTCGAACCGTTCACGAATAGACCCAGGATTCTCTGGGATAGAGGATGCGAGGGCCATCGCCTCGCGAGTATCACTGCCGACTCGATGAGACTCCCTGCGCACATGATATACTATAACAATCATGAGCATCGTATGGTGATAATTTAACTACTAAACACGGCACCTTGTAGATCGGGCTAGCAGTCCTGGCGGCCGCAGAGAAGAATCGTTCGGACATGGCAATGTTCTTGGGTCGCTGGCCGCTCGGGACCTGGGGATTTGGAGGTGTGAGCGTCGCATAGACACTTACAGTGTTTGCAAGGAGGAACGGGATTTTAGCAAGAGACATTGTACGAGGGTTGCACGACAGCAGAGAGTCGAGAGGTTAGACCGAAAGTGTATGCGGTAAAGGGATTGCAAGATTGCTTAATATATATCACTTACACGCTGTCCGGGGATAGTAGGGGTAATACCAATTTACCGTGTCTGCGACGACGGCCCACCGCCGGACAAAAAACTGTCACGAGGAATAGAGACCTTCCATGCCACGCCTGGTATCAGGAAATCAACATGTTTCCGTAAGTTACGATGGCAGCTAGGAGTGATTAAGCTGGGACATCGGCTCACTGTAGCCTTTATCGTGCATCGGTCTGTTTGTCTTCCGGTTCTGCTGGGAACACTTGGCGTCGTGGCGACTACCGGCACCGCGGATTTTATGCCCGGGTGCATTGCGAATTTAATATCCGATTCGTCAAATTTGATCTCCGGCTGCTGAGTTAACATTGGGTGTTCGATAAATCCGCGACTGAATGCTGAGGTCAATGAGTATGTACCAACACGGTTCGCATCTCACATGCCAAGACCGGCACTGAGAGCGGCAATCGAGCCTAGATCTTTCAGCGCACTTTGAGAGGTACACCTTCGCATCGCCGAGAGGTAACCCACGTCGACCAATGGCATTGCGCTGCATTCGGAGCTAGATATGCAGAAGTCGACAACACGATCGCATTGACTAAGATACTGCCAGCCCACAAGGTCAGTAAATGTATGGGATCAGTCTGTATGGTACGCTCTTTGCCCATTCGTCCCATTGCACGCCGAATCGGGCCCTCAGTAACTCATCTTCCAGAGGCGCGCGCATCATAAAGTTCACCGCACCATACAGGAAGAACGCTCCATACAAACATACTGCGACGCGTCCTGCTGCTGTCTCTAGGATGCCGCATTCCTTGAACCACGATCCCGGGCTTAGGCACGCCATGCCCGTTCCTATCCAACCCACGAGATTTGCCAAATAGCTGGGATGCCGGACGTACGAGTAGGGTCCATGTGTGATAAGTTTGTGGTCATCCTTGATGGACACTTCAAAGGTAAAGAACCGTCCGAGGGCGCGAAAACATAGCATGCGGATGAATACAGCCGATGTGACGAGGCCACAGCCTATGAGGAATGTCGGACTGATGGTGATTTGGCTAGCGAGGATGCTCGGTCCATGAACAAAAGCTTCCAGGATCGTCTGCGACAGAGGATGAGAGGGCCGCTGTTGCGCGAGGACTACAACGAGCTCGAGGACGCTTCCCGCACACCTGATATACTGGCACAGTCGTTACAGCAGGAGTTTTTGAGCCAAAATAGACGTACTACCTTGAAAAGCGGAGTATAAACCTTGACAACGGCCGAGAATGTTCGCTCGGATGGAGTGACGTTCTTGGGCCGCTGATTAGCTGGAACTGAGGGGTTGGGAGGTGTGGAGGCGATATATGTGCTTATCACATTTGCGAGTAGGAAAGGCACTTTGATGAGAGACATCTGGACATACAAAGACTCTGGGCTGACGTCTCTGCCATATAAAGGATTTCCAGAAGGTTCAGCGAACTTTGGAGGCTTGATAGAGCACATGTGATCTGCAATCCAACCAAACGGGCACTTCCTCTCACGCGAGAGTTCCTGTACGAAGCGCTAGCGGAAATTCAAGAGGGGAAGGCATGATGTTGCCATACCATGCCTAGTCTTCTAACCGGCACTGTGAATTTCCACATGGCTGTCCAAGTGCGCAAAAGGGAAACTCACCGTCTGGAGGGTGACTGTGGAGGGAGATTTCAGTATACCACGATAGGATACTGGCTTCCGCCGTATCTTCTGCCCGAGAATAGACCGTGACCAAGGAACATGACACAACCAAAGTAGGGGCATGCAGAAGCACATGGAAGGTTCTCCATCTTCATGTACGGCAGCATCTGATAATGGTTTTCAACTTCTTCCTGCTTCCACGCCAGCTAACCAATCATATATCACATGCTGACGCTGGCAAGATCAAGTCTAGGCCTTCCAGTGAACTCCTCCGAGACGCCCTTTTGATTGCTGAGAGATGTGCCAAAGCCGACGACACGATGAACCCACATAAGATACTGTCAACCACAGGATCAGTAAATGTATGGGATCAGTCTGTATGGTACCCTCTTTGCCCATTCGTCCCACTGCGTTTTGAATCGATCCTTCAACAAAGCATCCTCCAAGGGTGCACGCATCACGAAGGTCACCGCACCATACACAAAGAGCGATCCATACAACCATACTGCAACGCGTCCTGCTGGTGTCTCCAGGATGCCGCACTCCGTTAACCATGACCCCTGGCTCAGGCACGTTATACCCGTTCCTATCCAGCCTGCGATGCTCGCCAGGTAACCAGGGTGCCGGACGTACGAGTACGGACCATGCGTGATAAGCTTGTGGTCATTCTTGACAGCGACTTCGAAGGTAAAGAGTCGTCCGAGGGTGCGATAGCACAATATACGGATGAGCACGCTCGACGTAACGAGACCGCAGCCCACGAGGAATGCTGGACTGACGATGATTTGGTTGGCAAGGGTGCTCGGTCCGTGGATAAGAGCGTCCAAAATCTGTCGCGACAGGAGATGAGAGGGCCACTGTCGCGCGAGGATTACGACGAGCTCGAAGACGCTTCCTGCACACCTGACATACTGGCATAGTCGTTACAGCAGAGGTTTCAGAGCTAAAGTAAAGGGACTACCTTGAAAAATGGGCTATAAACCTTGACAATTGCTGAGAACACTCGCTCAGATGGAGTGATGTTCTTGGGCCGCTGATCGGCTGGGACAGAGGGGTTGGGAGGTGTAGAGGCAATATATGCACTCGTCACATTTGCGAGGAGGAAAGGTACTTTGACGAGAGACATTCTGGGGCCGTATTGTAGAATACTAGTGATCCGGGGTCCATTTAAATTGGCAGTCTGGCGCTCTCACTCTCACGAGAGTTCCCTGCGAGGGGCGCTAGTGACCATTCAAGCAAAGGCACGTTGCCGTAGCACATCTAGTCTTCCAACTGGCACCGTGAATCCCCAAACATTGGCTGTCCGGACACAAGGGTCGAAAAGCAATTCCGACACGGCAGCAGTTCAATTGCGTACTACGTGGGAAGATGCAATTGGGGACTCATCTCATGCAGAGTACGCCTCGTTTACTTGTAAACATTCATCATTTTCCTGTCATCACTTCCGAGAAAGGCTTGGCGGCAGGAGGTGACAATCGGACTGCAGTCGCACATTGTGCCGGGAGTGCAACCGAATTGGGCATGATCCCGACGGTCTGGAAATGCTAAGCGTCAGCTTCACTGTTTATATTTCCCTTTACCTACAGAAACAAATTTCCTAGAAACTCTGGCGCGATTAGCCGCAAAGTCGTCAGCGGCAGAACGATGCAGGGATTACTTATGTCGCCTGAACTGGAGTGCTTGCAACTTACGTAAGGACAAGACGGAGATCGGGCCGACTCGGCCGAGTGATCCCTTCGCGAGCCCCAAAGAGACAAGGGCGCCAGTCTTTCTTTCGTTCCTGCACCCTTCTGTCTTTTCCAACTGCAGAAATGGCCACCGAAGCCGCGCCAGAAAGCACTCTGCCATATCCTCCGATGCACGCGGATAAGCCGTTCGTTGTCCTCTCCGACTGGTTGGTTGGTTCGTCTTCAATCATGCCTCCGGGCAGCTTCTCCCTCATCAGTACGATGGGCACTACAAGTGTCTGCTCATCGTCGGATCCTTGGTTGGTGTTGATTTTATTTTATTTGCTTTTGATAGGGATGGAACTATAACGACGCGCGATTCCAATGACTGTGAGTTTGTCAATGAGTTTTGAGTCCCATCGGATCTATGTAGATTGCATGAGCGTTGGAAATTCATAGTGCGAATTTGCAGATATGACGGATGAACTCGGATTCGGAAGGGAGAAGCGGCGAGAGCTCAATATAGCCACCCTCACTGGTGAAGTGACGTTCCGGTATGACTTTTTCTTTCCGGGCCTTTTAGTCAAAGTGCTCAAACTGTTGATCAGAGACTCGTTTCGCGAGATGCTCGAGAGCGTGGTCGCCAATGGACACACCTTTGAGGAATGTAAGGAGGAGCTTAAGAAAAGTCAGTATCAACATCCATCGTGCTTCATTTCTTCGGTCTCAAGCTGACGAATGGATTTCTAGATATCAAGCTCGACCCTGGGTTCAAAGAGTTCTACCAGTACTGCTACGGTACAGATATCCCGGTCGTCATCATTTCCAGGTCAGTGTACATCACGTCACCTACTTCTGAGTTACGGAGAACTCATTCGAACACCACCTATCCACAGTGGCATGGCTCCCTTGATCCGCGCCGTTCTATCGAACCTCATCGGTGAGGAGGATGCCAAGAAGATCGAAATTGTCTCCAACGGCGTGATTATTCACCCCGATGGCAAGTGGGACATCCAGTATCGCCATCCGTCAAGGTATGCATCACGACATACCTGTGAAATGCGCATTTCGATTCATCTTTGGTACAGTGGTTTTGGCCATGACAAGAGTCAAGCAATCCTGCCGTATCGCGCGCTCGAGCACCCACCCACAATCTTCTTCTTTGGCGATGGGGTATCAGACATGTCTGCAGCGCGCCACGCCGATGTGTTATTTGTGAAGCAGAAAGGTGACGGTGAGAACGATCTGGCGGCGTACTGTACTCGCGAAGGCATTCCGCACATCCTCTTTGAAGACTTCAGTCGAGCCTTAACGGTCGTCAGAAGCGTTGTGGACGGGAAGATGAGTGTCAAGCAGGCGTTGTCTCTCGGCCGGGCTTAATCAGTCCCAGCTCAATTTGTTAAACGAGGCAGATAGAAGCAATGTCCAGAAGCAATGTAGACATAGAGCGCTCACAGCGGATTGTTATCATAATAAACTGTTATATATAACGTGGATGAAAACGTTGGCTAGCTGAAATTGGCAGTGATGCCGATTCGAAGTTTTGAACACATAACGGGAGTATGACCTACTTACCACCTGAGAAAGAGCTCTCGATGACACTGAGAAATGCATAGCCTAATTTTGCATTGCGATAGCGTCATGTAAAGGGCAATATACCATACATAGCACCGACTCGTCCTCCCCACCCCGTATCCATACACAACACCACACGCTCACGCAATGAGTGTAGACGCGGTTGCCGAATCGTATTTGAACGTTGGCGGGATCTGTTGCTTCGTCTTGTAGTATCGCGCGAGACGGTGGATACGCGACTCGATCAAGATGAGGCGGAACTTTGAGTCCTTGTCCTTGCGGTTCGTCTCGAGGTGCTTGCGCACTGCGACCGCCTTTTTCACGAGATGCCAGAGGTCCTCGGGGATCTGTGGTGCCAGACCTGCCGCCGACGCTATAAGCCAGTACATCATTTCGATCTCGTGGTCATGCGCACCGTTGGACTTGAGGATACGAAGGATCTTGTTTCCGGTGACGAAGCGCACTTGGGGGATACCGTGCGAGTCCCGAAGGGTCACACCGATTTGTGAGGGAGTGAGACCCTTACGCGCGAGCTTAGTGATGTGCTCGATGACATCTTCGTTGGTGGTCTTCAGCCAAGAAGGGGGAGCGCGGCGGTAAGGGAGGGCAGAGGACGCTGGTCAGATCAGAACCTCAGTCTGCGATGTCTTGGTCTTTATCATTCTGGAGAGACATACAAATGCCCTTTCCGGGAGCGTGCATACGACCCATTGTGAATCTGTGGCGAGTTTTTAAGCATCCATGCGTAAGAAGGGCAGCACAGCGACTCACAGATTTTGCGGGAGGGGGAGTCTTGAGGCTTGGTCGTTGTCGATGCCGCTGGGCTCGTTCTGTCGGTGCTCGAGGATGTGCCCACGTGCCGGAAGATGCGGTGGCTTGCCGCAACTATACAGTTGCAAACCTTGTTGCCACCGCGCCACCCCGTATTGGCCTTGTTTGCCTGGGGGTGAAACTACAATCGACACCGCGCGCAAGACCACTGCCGTCGTTTCCGCCGACGCAGAACGAGGCCCTTACGACTGAAGGTGCGCACCGTGCTCCAAATTTAAAGCTTCCGCTTGCTCACCTTGATTCATTGCATACAGCATGAAGCTCAACATCGCTTGTAAGTGGTGACAGGCACGGTAGGTAGTCACTGGAGATGCTCACAGTCTCGGCATGTAGACCCCGCAACCGGGGAGCAGAAAACTATCGACTTCGATGATGAGAGGAAATAGTACGTGTTCTATGTGAGCCCCATAGCTTGTCCTCACTCGTCATGCAGCCGTATCTTCTACGACAAGAAGATCTCACAGGAGGTTTCTGGAGATTCGCTCGGTGATGAGTGGAAGGGCTACGTCTTCCGCATCACTGGCGGCAATGACAAGCAGGGTTTCCCCATGAAGCAGGGTGTCCTCGTCCCTTACCGTGTTCGTCTGCTTCTCGCGGACGGCCACTCATGCTACCGTCCCCGCCGTACGGGTGAGCGCAAGCGCAAGTCTGTCCGCGGTTGTATCGTTGGTCCCGATATCGCTGTCCTCTCCCTGGTCATTGTCAAGCAGGGTGAGAACGATATTCCCGGCCTGACCGACAATGTGCTCCCCAAGCGCCTTGGTCCCAAGCGTGCGACCAAGATCAGGAAATTCTTCAACCTGTCGAAGGAGGATGATGTCAGGAAGTACGTCGTGAGGAGAGAAGTGAAGAGCGCCAAGAAGGAGGACGCGAAGCCTTACACCAAAGCGTAAGTTTGAGAATCGCTCTGACCCTGACCCACTCTGATAGACTGTTTGCACTAGTCCCAAAATTCAACGGCTGGTCACTCCCCTCCGTCTGCAACGTCGCCGCCACCTCCGCTCCCTCAAGCGCCGCCGGATCGAACGCCAGAAGGAGCAGAAGACGGAGTACGAGTGAGTACCGATCTGGCGCTCTGCACCGATTCAAAGTCTCAATTGTTTGTCTTAGTGCTCTCCTCCAAAAGCGCGTGGCCGAGAAGAAGGAGAAGGTTGCGGCCGTCAAGGCATCACACAAGAAGTACGTCCTTTTGACAATATTTCGTCTTTGATTCGTCTCATCGTTGTAATTCAGGACTACCGCTTAAAGTGCCGGCTGTGGGGCATCTTTACTTGTATGCGGTCGATATCTCTATGGTTTACTGTAGTCATGTTCTCTCACAACATCTCGCTCGCAATGCATCCATGTGATCTATGGTAAACCAATTCAGAGAATGACCCGACGTTTGTAGGAAGGTTCAGAAGTAGGCGAGGTATGTTAGTTATGCGAGTTTGATTAGGCCAATTCGAACTAAATGCTGAGCCTCTTCTGGAACCGAGCTGGGTTTTCATGAGTGAACGTTGATCTCGTTGCGCTCTTGGTTGTGGTTGCCCCATTGTGGTGTTTGTGCCTCGTTGATATTGAGAAAGGTAGCTTGAATTGGACGTCACTCATTGACGGATGTAGAAATGTTCATTTTTTCGTTGTGGGAACGAATGACTTAAATAGCAATTGGCACCCGGTGCCTGCTGTTGTTTACAGATTTGAGTTGTATTTACCTTCATGCTTCAGCTGCATTTTACAGAGATCCTGTTTTGTAGACTCTGCGGTACCCACAGGGCCACAGCCGGTCTCTTCTTCGTCCCCCCCCCCCTCGCCGAAGTCTCCTAGTCCTTCTCAAGGATCGGCTTCGTCTCGTGTCTGGCTGCATGAACGATGCCGAGGACGCTCTGCGTCTCGGTACTATGGCAGATTAGTCTCGTCGATATTCCTTCCGGCGACCATCATTGCCGCCCCCACCTCGCCAGTCCGGCGTCCCCGCTGATTTCGACGGGACGTCAGAGCGCGTGAAGGGCCTCCAGAGCGAGAAACAAACGCGCGTTATTCAAATCAAACCCCCTAGTCACTAGCTTTGCCATGGTGTCGTCTCGACCCGCGAGCCCACAGCTGTGCGTACGGGGGACACACCCCGGAACGCAGAGCGGCGGAGACCCGACCTGGATAAGTGGGTTTCCGGTACACCGACGAACCTCTCCAAGCGCGCCACGGTCCAGGATCCTACCGTGGCTGCCCAAAATCTACCTGGACCAGAACAGCCTCCCGCATCGTGACCAGTGTATGACCACAAGGCGCCGCAATACTCGTCGGAGCTGGTCTCGTGCGCGTCCGAATCGCTGAGCACCTATGTGATGCTGCATCGTTCCAAGGAGAGTATCTTCGAGGTGCGTAGCATCCCGGCAAAGACACTGCAGAACAGGATTCTGGTCCCGGGCTGTGTCGCGCACCGCGAAGTGGTCTTGGTGGAAGACGGCATTTCCCGCCCGGACGAAGCGCTGTGATGTGATTGGGTTGAGGACCCCGCCTTGCTTGGATCGGGATACGATTGCGGTGTACGCCCAGGTGCCTGGGGCAAGCAATCTTCGCCCTGGGTGGGCCCATGCGCCCGGACGGGCCAGGCAGCGGTACATCCTCGGGGTCTTGTACACAGCCGACGTTGTGTCGACGGTTGCTTGGGCATTCCGGCGGCTGGGCCGCCGATGCGGCCGCCACGGCGCCCAAAATCGCAAGTACGTGTGATGTCCTCCAGTATACACAGTGGGCCCGACGTTTGACGATAACTCCAGACAGCTGAGAACGACATCTGCGATATGTACGCCAGAATGCGTCGCGTCGCGGTCAGCATACACAGACCCATGACCAACGGCAGTGCCTTTGTCTGAGCCACTCCACTACGACGAAGATATCTAGATCTGCGCCAAATGATAGTGACTTGCCACGTTATGCACGCGCTTCATGGCCTCCACGCTGGGGCTGTGCCACTGCAGGGTCCGCCGTATGTCCTTCTGATAGACGTATAAAACATGTCCAACATGTTCCTCAGGCCCAACACTCTTTAGCGCACGACACACCCACCACACCGCGATGTTCGTCCCCATCGCATCTCCGCTCGCCTCGCGACTCGACGACACCCGTCACCGACTCGCGCCGCGCAAGGGCAGCAGTGGCGGCCCCGGGGG